AACAACTCAAGATTGAGGTATTTTCTGACTCAGACTTTGCTGGGGATCCTGGAACTGCAAGATCTACTACTGGATGTCTTGTCAAGATCTCTGGAGGACCTGTATCTTGGAAATCAAGACTGCAGAGAGAGGTGGTTCTGTCAAGCACTGAAGCAGAATATGTGGCTTTGACTGAAACCTGCAGGGAAGTCAACTGGCTTAAGAACCTGCTCTCTGAGCTACAACCATTGCTCAAAGATCCTCCCACCAAGTTCAAGGTTCATGTTGATAACAAGTCAGCTATCTGTCTTGTGGAGAATCATGAAAGATCTGGCAGATCAAGACACACCAACCTGAGAAACCACTACTGCAGAGATCAGTATGAGAATGGTGTGATTGATGTTGAGTACATTGAGACTGCAAAGCAAGAAGCTGATGCTCTCACAAAAGCTGGAAAGACCAACCAGCTGCTGTGATACAGAAGCATGGCATTGCGTGCATACTACACTCATTTGAACATTCCCTTTGTGAACTGGAGACCTGCAGTTTGGTGGCCAAGTGCCTTTTCATTCTGTGATGGTATGAAAATCAAAACTCCACACACATGCCCTGTCCTGGGTATCTCAAAATCAAACATGAGTAGCTCCTCCCTGAGCCTGCTTTTCATTCAACAAAAGAAATAAATCAAGAACCCTTGCAGCTCCCCAAACTGCATCTGGCCAGCAGACTCAAGGAAAACAACATGCAGGGCCAGTGCTGCAGAGATCACCACCAAATCCACCAATCCTGAACTCCAGATCTATCCACCACGAGGATATCTGTAGTTCTTGCCCATGAAGTCCCTGCCATTCTCAAACTTCTGATCAAAAGCCAGCTCAACAGCATGTACAGCAGCCCTTATCTCAGCCTTGTACTGCTCATATCCGGCAGTTGAGGAGTAGTTGAAGTTGATAACAATCTGACCACGACGAGAGCCATCTCCTGCAACCTGAACCTCACGAGCTGCATTAATGCGCACAGAGTTTGGCTGTGGTGCACCATCAGACTTGTTTGAATCCTCAGACACAAGCGACATGTCAGACAAGGATCTCTTAAGCCCAGAGTCCCTGTCCTTGCCCTTGCTCTTTCCCTTGAGTTCCTTTGGAGTCCGTGGAGCAGGTGTGTAGCCAGAGGTAGAGCAGCCAGAGTACTGAATCCCAAAAGCACAGTTGGTGCAGGCATTCTGAAAGCAATCCTCTCTAGCAGCATTCTGGATGGGAACCTTGTGACAAGCTCTGAATGGCCGAGCTCCAGCTATTGGAGGCTGGCACTTGCTGCAGGAACTGGCACCCTGAGCCACAATGGCATTTGATGCCTCAGCCAGAATGCAAGGAAGGTAGCAAGCACTCCCATCCAAGTTGAAGGTAGAGTGACCACGGAAGAGAGGAGTCTGAGTGATCTGAATGGGATTTGGGTTTGTGGCGTCAAAGAATGCCATCCACTTGACACTGGGCTTGTTGCGAGCCAAAGAGAAGTCCAGATTCCGGTTCCAGGCCTCCAGCATCTGCTCACACCAGGCCTGATCACACTGAACAGAGTTGAAGTTCAGACCATAGGCATTATTGACCACGGCCTGAAGCTGTCCATTGCTCATCTGCTGAGCAGCCATGACTGAGCTCAAGTCAGTATTCAACTCACAGTCACAAGCCACTGATCCATACCTTGGCTCTCAAGAGAGAGAAGTTCTGAGAGTGTCTGAAGTGTTGTGAAGGAAGTGGAATGGTGTTTGAATGGTGTGAAGAGTGTGGAATGGGTATGTGCAAGAGAGAGAGTTCAAGGAAGAAGAAGAACTCTTTTATGGGCAGAACTTAAGATCAGGTGATTGCCAGCTTAACACACTGAAGGTTCAAGAGATTGCGTGGCAATCCATGTGATGCCTGACCTGCTCATGAGCATTCTGAAGGGTCATTTGCTTTGTGATATGGTCACTGATAAGGTCACAAGGTCACATAAATGGCTCAGACACGTATGACAGCAATCAGACAGCTCAAGAAAGAACTGTCTGTATGCTGAGGGGGAGTGTTGTGCCTGGGGATCACGTGAGTGCCAAGAAGGCCACATCTTCTGAATTCACAGTCCTTGTAGATACCTGCTCCCGTAATCAATCATCTATGAAGGCCTAATAACCGCTGCACAACAGCAGTGAAAAGGCTTGTTTCTTGAGCTTGGCCGGACATGAAACCATTCACTTCGCAACACGATCGTACTCGACCTTTTCATTCGTCAGGATGTTCGCGAGAGCGTTGCAAAGTCCGGATGATCGCGAGAAAGATGGTTTGCTGGTTTCAAAAGTCCCGATCCGAGCCAGACTGGCACAGGGCTGACGACGACTTCACCTCATCTCATCCATGGACAGAAAGAAAAGTTGATAGAAAATTGGTGATGAGTTTGACACATTCTTGAGTCTTGCAAGAAAGTCGTCGATAACCCTCCTCTACTCGATTTAGTGCATGTGAAAAGAGGAATTGGACTGCCAGAGGAAGCACCGCCCTACAGCCAGGCCTCATGGTGTCCTTGCCATCGAAGGGACTGTACCGAAGGTCAGTTCGAGAAGCCACACAAAAGGTCGCAAGGCGCGAGCGTACCAGTCGACCATCACCACGGTCTCAATCCATCCAATCAGACATTGCGGCGGTTGATCCTCGCATGCTCCTCGCCGCTGTCTCTCGCAACCCCTGGGATGCCGTGTGCAAGATGATCCTCACAGAGAATAATGACATCTGCAAGCGCACTGCTTGAGACGAAACTTGGCGACCAGTTCGAGACTGTCAAGCTGAACTCGCCTCCATCCTGACGTACACTTCCTTGCTCGAAGGTAGTCGTACACGTCACAGCGTTGACGTCGATTCCTGTGGTATTTGAAAGGTAGAACCGCGAGCTGCCGATGGAAGGAATCTTCGCTCTCTGCTGGATTGGGACGGTGTACGAAATGTTGGTTCCTTGCAGTTCGCCATCGAGTGGCTCTTGAAGAACAGTGGCGATCTTTGGATCTGTGGCAACGCTCATGGCTGGATCTTGGACAGCAAGGGTCTGACGGATATTCGAGCCTGGAGCTTCCGGTGTGGTACAGACGAGACTGAACTTGGCACCGATGCTACCTTGTTCATCGCTAGGACGGCCACTTGATTCATCAATGCCGAATGGTCTGCCAAGCAGTGTTCCATTGGTGGAAGTCCAAGTTGGTGTGCAGGTGACAGTGCTTGGATCAACACCCCAGATGTTCGTCAGAATCAGCTGAGAGACGCCCTCGCTGGGGAGATTGGCCGGGTAACTCGATACACCTACGACACCAATTTGTAGTGTATGAGTCTCGTTGAACACGGTGCCATTGATTTCGGTCTTCTCCAGATTCACGTCGGCGTAAGGAAGTCCACGTGGACGAGCTGGGGTCTTGACTGACAGCTTTTCGGTGCACCAAAATCTCAATCTCGCTTCGTTGAGATCGGCGGCAGCTTGTGGAGGGGCGACAGGCGAGTAGTGGTTGAAAGACTGACCAACGATGGTAGGGAAGGGAGTTGCCGGGACCGTATCAAACAGAGGTGAACAGCTCACTGGACCAGTCGACAGCAAGTAGAAGTGGAACAGCAGCTTCGGGTCGACAATCGTGACTGGAGAGTCGAAAGGCCGGTCAACTGGGACTATGACGGTTGTGTTGTAGTACGCGCTCTTCAGGTCCGGGTTGCGCTTCTCGATCACGATGACTGCCGGATCCGATGCTGTAGTGAGCTGGCCAAAGGCGAGGGAGAGGATGCCCATCAGGCAAAGCGCGCCTGCAATCATCATCGCGACTGATTTGAGGTAGTGACGACCAGGGTCGGAGGTGAGGTTGGTGTATTTGGCAGGTTTGCAAAGGGTTTCGGGTAGTATGGATGGCCAGAGGTGCAGAGGTGGTCGGTAAGGAGGACGTTGGTGTGGTTGTTGTAGATGAGTGGAGGTGGGAGGTGGTGGTGGAAGAGTGGAAGAGGTGACGTTCGAACAAGCTTCAGTCAGTTGGGAGAGCAACAGTGATGACAAGGAAGGAGCGAAGAGACATGAAGGCTTGGCATTAACCTCACTTGCTGAAGTCTCCAGGTTGGACATGTGAAAGTCCAGAGGCAGTGAAAGACAGAGCGAGATCACCCGGCACAATGGCTGAGCGACATGGTACTGGAATCCTCCTCGATCAATAATGGCATCTTCACATCAACCAACCATTAACCGCGAAGAAGTCATGCCCGTACAGTTGGCTCGGGATGAAACGTGAACCACCTTTTGCAAAGCGACCGATACCTCATTCGAAGGAGTATCCTCACAGTTTCGATCAGATAAGTGGAAAAACAGCAGGGAGCCGCGGGGCCTCCTGATCTTGGATTCGATCAAAGTGCTGACAGAAGCCAGGAAAGCCCACGGCCTCCTGGATCCAACATATTTATGCTAATGACTTGTGAGATCTTCCATCGAAGTAGTCTCAATGCTGAGGTGAAGTTAGAAACCCAAGAGCAAGTCAAAATAGCCGACGCGGTGGCGCTGTCCCGTGACAAATTCGTGTGCAGCCATTGGCCAAAGACATGCATGTCTAGACCTCAATCAAGCGACCACAGTGAAGATATGCCTGCAATGATGCAGGCCGGGGTATCTGGCGGACTGTCCAAACGCAAGTGGCGGGCATGTCCCTCGAAGCGTTCGTGAACATGGCTTCTCCCCCAGCTTCAACTTTCACAACAGAAACCGAATTCGCGAGCAGGTCAGATGCTTTGACAGCAGGATGTGGCCATTCAATGACAGACAGAAATACACGGTGGTGGCAAGAGAAGATGAAGAAGGTGTGGATGGAGAGGTCGAAATAAAGGTACTGCAGGAGCAGCGACACGCTTCAACATGGAGTTGGAAAGTCGGCGCTGGCATCATCATCTCAATGATAGCCGTTCTTCTCATTGGAATCTTCACCATGAATCTAGTGGACATCAACTCCGACGGCCCCGTTGAGTACCCTCCCACCGAAGAACTGTCTGCTCCAGCATCAGAAGGCGCAGGTTGTCCAACTCGAAGGAAATGGCGTACTCTGAGCGACACCGACAAGCAAGCCTACATCTCCGCAGTCCTCTGCCTTCAAAATGCAACATCAACTCTGGCTCCAAACACCAACCACACAGCCTACGACGACTTTCCTTGGATCCACAGCCACGTCGGATACGCCACCCACAACAGCGCTCCTTTTCTGCCCTGGCATCGGTACTTTCTGCACATCTACGAGACGGCCTTGAAGGATAAGTGCGGTTATACGGGTCGGCTGGTGTACTGGGACTGGACTTTGGATTTCGAAGCTCTAGAACACAGTCCTGTCTTCGATCCAGAGACAGGATTCGGAGGCGATGGTGAAATAGGTGGTGCTATCACAGTTGGTCGTTCCGGACGTTGCGTCGTCGATGGACCATTCGCTGGGACCCATGTCAACTTCTACGACGTCAAATTCGAACCGCACTGTCTTTCACGAGGGTTTAGAGACCTCGAAGGAAACCTCGGACACATGGACGGGAAAGACATCAGCCCAGAGTCCATCGAAACTGTGCTCAGTATTGACGGATACGAAGACTTCGTCGCAGCCATGGAAAGCAAAGTCCACGATGCGATCCCCTTCGGTATTGCGGGTGACTTCGAAACATTCACCGCTCCATACGATCCAATCTTCTTCCTGCATCATACCCAGCTCGACAGATTGTGGTGGCTCTGGCAGCAGCGTCAGCCTGGACGCGGGCTTGAGTCGTACAGCGGACATAAGGGGCGGCACTCCATCGAAATGGCCAGCTTGGACGATGACTTGCATTACAAAGGTTTGGGGCCTGATGTCAAGGTCAAGGACGTCATGGACATCGAGAACGAGTTGCTTTGTTACCGGTACTGATCCGTGGACCAGGACCGTCCCGCCAAGTACGACTGTGTCGTCACTGGTGGAACTCGAGATCCGGACTCTCAAACGCGAGATACCACCTCTACTCTGCATCGTCGCCCACTTCGTCTTTGGCAAGGCAGGCTGCGTTGCCTCTCACAAGGGTTCGGTCTCAGCTGGGAGGCCCGAAAGCCGAGAAGTCGGCGCTGAGTAATGACCTTCCAGCAACGTATAAAAAGGGATCTCCTTAGATCCGGTCCAGCACACATCAAGAAGTTGACCTCCTGGCGCTCGAAGAAAGACAATTAGAGCAGACCGGTCGTCTCAAGATTCCGCTCTGTGTCCCCAAGAACATGGCCATCCAAAACGGCACCACCCCAAAGAACATCCTCACCGTCAGCCTGGCCAAACACCTCACAGGCGAACCCGTCGCCGACGTGATAGCACAAGACTGGAAAAAAGCTTCCGCCGCAACGACCCGCAACTTCACCAACGTGGGTTTCGACGTCGACTTCCACAACTTCGACCACACCCTCGAGGACCTGCGCACCAGCCTGCACGAGCGAGAGTGGGACGGCATCTTGGTCGGCTGGTGTCTGAGGGGAAAACCAGCACACACAGAGATGTTCGAGAGGGTTGTCGGGGTCTGTTTCGAGGAGCTGAAGGTGGAGAGGACGAAGGTGATGTTTTGCACGGGGCCGGATGATTTGGTGCATACGGTTCAGAGAAATTTTCCAGAAGGGTTTGTTGCGTAGATTTGTGGTGGAGCGATCATATCAACTTCAAGACTTGCCATGGCAGAAGCTCGCATAGCCTGTCATCGCTGCCATCCGTGAGCCTAGGCATTGCCCCCGATGACGATGTATCTCCCCGGCTCGACCTGGCGGAGGACGGCGAATGCCCGTGGGCAATTCACAAGCTCTGCGACGACATCTCCTTGTCTCGCAGTCTGACAGGCCACTCGGAGCTGGGCATCATTCGTAGAGGCTTGTTGAAATCCGACGAACTCTAGGCATGCCTCAGTCATTTCACCAAGTGCAACATTGACCGCGTCCAAATACGGCATATCCTCGAGTTTAGGGAATTTGGAGATCTTCAGTCGCCTGACATGTGCCTCAACTAGCTCAGACAGAGGCACCCCATAGACACTGCACTGTCCATACCTATCATACCATTCCGCGATCTGTGTGGATCTCCGAAGCTTTTTCGATGAACGACAGTGCAGCAGGCCATGTGCCAAAGTGTCCACGAAGACTGGCGAGCGAGTGAAGTTCAGAACGTGCCGGGCGACTCCAAAGATTGCTCTCACAAGCTCGAGTAGAGTGTTCCTCGGGCAGTCTTTTCCTTGAGGAGGATGAGATTGCGCCTGACTTCTACCAGACTGTACAGCATCCGCTTGGGAGACAGTGCCAACGATGCGACCGTCGATTCCAACGACTCTGCTGTCAATATTAGACTGAGGTCGTAGTGGTGCCGGAGGATGATGGGACATTGTCCATATACAGTGTGGGATGACATCCTGAGCTTCTGCGCTGCTGGTCTCGTCCGGGCTATACACACATGGAGCGTTGCCAATATTTGTGGTCAGGTACCCAATGTTGATCACAGGAAGCTCGAAGACCTCCGCCGCCTCCATAGCTGACCAGACACGTGGCACGCAGACTGTCGACAGATCATTCACCCAGCTTGAGAATCGGATGCCAACGGAGTCTCCAAACCGCACACTATCGTGACCCCTTAGCGTACTACAAGTCTTCCACTTCCGGCCTCGAGGCTCTGACAACATGGAAGCCAGTATTTGATTCCTCAGCCGCCTGGACATTCCTGCGCCAGAACACGTGGAGCAGAGAGCTTTTCTTAAACCGCGCAAGCAGTCCTGTTTGACTTCTGGCCTCCTGAGTCCGCTTGAGCTCTTGCTTCCGGAATGGAGACCCGTATATCAAATCCGACTCGCGGAAGGTGAAGTCGTTCCAGCGTGGGCCTAGCGATTCTGGGGAAACGTTGCCAGGGCGGTGCACAGATGTGTCCAGATTCGCTCGAACAGTGGCCTTTTCCAAGTTTTGAAGGGGCACGGAAAGATTGCTCGTGGGCGGCGACAATGTATCATTCGCATCCAAGCTGGAGTTTGATCCTTGAAGGACAGACGTGATAGGAGTAAACGAGCTTCTCGATGGTTGTCGAAAGAAACTTGTAGGACGCAGTGTTAGAAGTGAGGCTCCCAGGATCGTTGTTTCCGGTTTGTCTTCAAGCTGTCCGTCTGAGGATATGGAGGACTCTTCAAGCGAGGACGTCTCTGCAGTAGAACCCCACTTCGATGTTCTACGCGAACGACGGTTCAACTGGCGTAGTCCATAGGCCTGGGGAGGGGAAAATATCAGCAGAACGCCATTGCCTCTGAGAGTATGACTTACGTTTGGCTTACTTGTCCCGAAGTGGTTCCATACCATCATGACTAAGTGGAACATGGCGGGCAAGAAGAACAAGAGCCCAAGGACAGAGGCATGAAGAATGACGATGGCAAATCCAGCGATGCTTTTCAAGCGACCGTCGGTGAGCTCAGGAAGGAAACAACATAGAAGCGCCAGCGTGGCTACCCTGGCCACTGTCGAAGCGAGCCGCGTGGTCCATAGCTGATCAGGTCGGAGACGAAGCATCGCTAGGAAGAGTCCAAGTTCGCAGAGCATCAACATCGCAAGCTGGGCCTCTGGAAAGCGCTGCAAGCTTCCGATGACTGCTCCACGAACGAATATGATGACAAAGTGAGCCGCGACGAAGCCCCTTTCGTGGGAAGTCGAAATCCTTGACGTTTTGCGCCCTGCCGAGGACTGTTTCGGACGCCCGATAACGAAATCGCCCATGCCATCGGCTGGCGATTGTCTGAACAGCCACACGAAGGCCAGCAAGACCACTATGACGGTGATCAAGGCAAATGTCGTGTGATACACCGGCATGTGTCGGGCATAGTTGGTTTGATAGAAGGTCAAAGCGCAGATTGGCAAGGTGAAGTAGGAGAACACCGCTTTCAAGATGGTGCTGAATCGCCGGTTGAAGCCTCCACGTGCACAGGTGGTTGAGTGTTCGCGGTTTCCAGTGAAAAACAAGCGCATCTCCAGCACCACAGCAATGAAGACCGCAAGAATCAGCACCGCGATGATCATTTTGCGCCAGGTATCTGCAGTATGCGGAACACCCACGATCTGGTGCATGAGTTCGAAGCCAAGAGTGCCGCCATAAGTGCCGTTCATCGTATAGATTCCGTCTTCAATGCTTGAATAGGCGTGGCCATGTGCCAATGGTCCTGGGTTGAATAGCGAGAACATGTTCAAGTGACTGAGGATGGGCTGGGAAAAGCCGGGATAGCTCAGTGTCAAGGTGCCCGAAAGAAACGCAAACTGAAAGTATAGCAAGCATTCGCTAGCACCTGGCAGGATCTCGGGCGCCAGTTGCGAAGGTCGGTCCAATGTTGGCTGGACCTGGGCCATGGTACGGAACGCACTCACGAGCAGCACGAAGGCACACACGCCGAAAGGGATCCATCGTAGCTGCAGTCGTGTTGTCGCTCGTGGTGCTGGTATGATGTTGGCCATCAGACATGATACCTGTCCCTCGTCCTCCAAAGTGGTCTTAAAAATCACGCCAATGTCTAAGAACGGAGACACCGAGCCGAGATCGACTGTGACCGGCAGGCGCACTTGATGGCGTGCTGGGTGTGCCTCGGGCGCAGTGCATTGTGCTTGCGTCTCGGCTTGGTATGCTAAGGTGCTACCTGAACGGGTGATGCTGAGATCGATGATTGCATTTGCAGGAAGCGCCTGACACTCCTGTGGCGAGAGAGACCGACCGAGAACAAAGGAGAGGACCCCATTCTCATGTGAGTGATCCAGACGTGCGTCTTTGATAGTGTAGTTAGCCCCTGCCGTCCACGCATTCAGCGAGTACCCCGGACAGGCTGCCGACTGCAGGTAGGTAGCGATCGTGGGGACTCCAAGGCTTCCGAGTATCAATAATCGGAAGAGATTGTGCATGATGATAGTAATTGCTTCGTCGACTGTTCTTCCTGCACCCAAGGCATGGAGAGATATCAAGTCGAGAGTTAGATTGAATGTAAGTAACGAACGAGATACACTTGCCGCGGCCCCGAATACGAGCCCAGTAAGGACGAGATTTTCCAAGCCGAAGATGCTCCGGCACCTGTTTCATAGCCCGTTTGTGTTGCTAGCAAGGATGTCCTACCAAATTTAGATGTCGAGATCTTGGGTTCAAGTCCAGAAGGTCTTGTCGCTGGCCCGCAAGTGGCAGCAAGGACGTTTGGCCTTCCGTGACGATAATGAACTCATACTCAATCTCATCCCTATACCCCTTTCCCCTCAAAAAAACACAAACACCTAACCTCAACACTCTCCCTCACCTCCGCCCCCTCCGTCCCCCTCTCCACAAAACTCGTATCCGGCACCCCCAAGAACCCCCCCTCATCATCACTATCAAAAATCTTAAAAAGCCACACCTCCTCAGGCCGCTGCTCACTAACAAACCACCAGCGATGCTCCGCGCTCGCGCGGATCTGATAGATGGCGATATCCTCGCCGTCGGGCGTCGGGAGGAGGGCTTCGACGCGCCCGTGGGGTTGCACGGTGCGGGCGTCGGCGAGGGCGAGAGGGTCTTTACGGACGGGTGCGAGGGGGCGCCAGACGTTGATGAGGCTGAAGGGGGTGGCGAGGAGGTGGGCGGCTTCGGATGGGGGGAAGTTTTTGCGGATGACGAGGCGGGCGGAGGCGGGGGTGTCGTCGATGTGGACGCTGCGGACGGGGCCCGGGAGGTCGAGGGAGTCTTCGATGGGTGGGGCGGTGAGGCTGGCTTCGAAGGAGAGGGAGCGGATGTGGTGGTCGTAGATGTGGATTTTGGTGGCGCCGGTGCTGGGGAAGGGTGAGTTTATGGACCTGTCATGTGGGCTGAGGGTGCTGACGTCTCTTTCAGCAGGTTCTCGACTTCTTTGTAGTATGAGTCCTTGATGTGTTCTTCGTCCGTAAACGACTGCGTCTGTATCTGGCGACGACAGAGTTGAAAGCCTTGTTTGTCCAGCGTGAAGTCATCCTCTCGACCTCGTATATCGTGGACGAGGACCGGCTGGACATCTTCGTGGTCCATTTGATATCTGACGAACGCCATCTTTCGGTCTAGGAACGGCTTCGACTTGTCCATGGCAGGTGTGCGATCAGCATCTGACTTCCAGTAGTTCACTGTGGTCTTCACATGTCGCCTTGCCTGCTGGTCAAGTGAGCTCTGCTGTTGATCTGGAATCATCGCAGACTCTCGCGTGACGGTAGTAGTTGACGACATGCTTGCCCTGAATTTCGGCGTTTAGACAGTAGTAATGAGGTCCTTGAGAGTACTTCGTCAGACTCCAAAAGTAAAATAACAAGAAATGAACATGTACCGCCACGCGACCCGGCAGCAACAGACCTTATCAAGCTCGAAGTTGTGACATTAGTAAGACCTGATATCTCGAGCTCTCGAGTAGCATTGCGAGGGGCTTGCTGCTCGCCCTATGGAGCAGAATGTACGACGGCTGTGGAGGATCGAACTGGTCGTTCCTGCGCTCCAGCTGGCGATAGACTTGCGATCTCTCATATCGGCATGTTTCCGATATCCCGTTTCTGAGAAGCCGGCAAGCTTCCTCCTGATGATTTCTCGATTCGAGGCTGATCTGGTTTTGAGAAAGGAAGACTCCCGAAGAGATGCGTTCGAAGTTGTGTGACGCATTCGGGTACTGAACACCTGTTTGAATCTTTCAGAATATAATATGTCATTGTTAATATAGGCCACCATAGGCAGTTAGTTTCCCAAACTCCACGCTGAATCATGGGCTAAACACTCAAAAACTTCGACCTCACTCCGTCCCATCTAGTAGCGGCAAGTCAACAATTGCTCCGTAACACCTCTGTTTCACCTTGTCTGTGGCTGCTCCCTGGGTTTTCGCTTGATGCTGTGTCTGAATACGTATAACCGACCCATCGAGCCGCTGCCGCTCAATGGGAAAGGGACTTATCTCTCGATCGAAAAGCCAGAACTCCATGAAAATGCTGCTCGCTGTACGCCGTCCGTTCTGTCGTAGAAATCCACTGCCACTCAAATAGGCGTTTGGTCTTTATATGAATCAACATAATCGGTGTTTCCTTCCACCAGCTGTCCCAGATTGAGCCGGGTGCTATAGCGCACGTTCTTTGTGTACGCCTTGTCGACATATCCCTGATGGTGTCCAATATCGCTGTGGGCCGAAGCATTGCCCGCAGGTCGGTGTGACGAGAACAGCGCTGGCACAACGGTCAGGCACTTGTTGATGGGTCGGCCACCCCAGCCGTCGCAGAAGCCTTGGGCCATGACGTCGATTGCAGAGAACAGGCTCTCAATGCCGAGTCTCCAGAGCCAGTTGCGGGCGCCGGGCAGGGAAAGGGCATACGCGCCCATGCAAATGCCACCTTTCGCGTGAGACACCACGCGGGTGTGGTTGGCGTACTCCTCGATCAGATCGTGGCGGCCGAATCCAAAGTCGATGTGCTGGCTTTCGGGCACGGTGTCATCGTTCTGGATGACCACACGGCTGGAAGGGATATCTGAGTCTTCTGGAGGAAAGTCCTGGCCGCAGTGCCCGATCCAGTGCATGTCCCAGTCCTCAATCGCGCCGTATGGGGCGTCGGATGCGCCTGGTGTCGTGTTCGGAGCGAAATCCAAATGTCGTCGGGGTTTGTCCTCTGGTTGTGATAGGTATTGGCGTGCTGCTTCGGAGTAGAGGTACATCTGCTCTTTGATGCGGATGTCCCAATCTTGGTCGCCTTCAAGGACCAATGCCGAAGCAATGTTTTGCTCGACCATTCTACATCAAACTACGTTAGTTCATGTCCAGCTGCGGGCTCATGCTGCGATCGAAGTCTCACAATCTTGCGACGTTGATGTGCGCTCGCCAACAGAAGAGAGCGCCATCGTCCAGATCCGTCTTCGCATAGTCTGCCGGTAGGTAATTCTTTTCGAGCCCTGATACGCCATCCACGAACTCCAGTTGCAATCCGGTCATCGAGGCTGCCAGGGACAAGCCATCTCGGTGGTCGAATCGCTTGGGCAGATCGATCACGTAGATCTTTTGAAACTGTAACTGCACGTGAGTAAAGGTCCATCTGAAGAGGCACATGCCATGCCACTCACACCGAGAGTGGCGTTGAAAACGGAACTCGGGTCTCCTATCCGCGTCGCTGAGGTCGACCAGGTCGACGAAAATGCATGTGGGGTCATGTATTGAAAGATGAAGAAAACAAGGAAAAGGGCACCAGCGCCTGTCGCGAATATGCGCGTCGTCGACATCTGTCGAAGCATTGTCGTGGCTCCAGGAAAGAAGGACTGTTATGGGAGTGGCCTGTGTAAAGTCGCGAGTGAGGCGCCGAGTGACCGAGCCTCGGGGCCATTCGTCCTTAAAGAAGGCTGCCAGTGGTCATACTAAGATAAGCACGAGGTGCGCACAACCACGCCTCCAGTGGCGTCTCCTTTTGGCCAATCACTCATTCATCCTACCGGTGACTACGCGAGGGGTGTTTCCGTTCCGTTACACCCCCTTTCAACGCCAGCGGAAAGTAGCCTGGCGAGAGCGTCAAAGTCGAGAAGTGTTTTTGCAAATCCACTTTACTCCATCCGCCTGGAGCCGCTTCATGCGAGCGGCCAACCTTATTGCTCGTACTCTGCAATATCGGTACTATGAATATCCTGCTGGATGGAGGCGCTTTTCTCGCACGTCGATTGGTAGAAAGCGACGCTAGCTTCCATCGATTTCGGTAGCTGACTGCAGTCTAGTGTTAATTTGGTGTAACGTTACCATCTCAGCTTGTGACAAAGGGCGAAAAAAGTTCTCCATCAGATAAGCACGCAACGTTCAATCCACAAGTCCCGTGGGCTGTTCAACGTTGTGATGAGAAATTGCCCTGATAGGCCCAAAATGCGAGCAGGAGCTGATATGACAAACGGCCCGGTGACCGTTTAAGGGACTGGTTCGCTTTCGCTAGGCTCGCAGAACGGCGCAGATCGGAGAGTGATTGGCGCAACTGCGAATGAAGGGTCAGCCCTATAAACATGATGAGAAGCTGGCGAAAGGGGTAGAGAGCGCTCGCAAGGTGGCCTCGACTGAGCTGAAGAGCTGGTGGTGGCAGAGCTTTCAGCTCGCAGCAGATGTCGGTGGATCACACGAGCGTAGACGCATGGAGGTGGTGAAAGAAAGTCCCGAACGCCTGCAGTCGACCGAGCTGGCGGGTACGTGCATGCCAAGTTCAGCTTCATGGCCTGGCGGCGCAAGTGAGAGTCGACGGCAGGATTTTGTACCCACGTACTCCTTCTTGTAATCGCAATCCTCGTCGCCAAAGGTGTCATAGTGAGTACCTAATACGAGGTCTCATATATTGCTGCGCCTCGCGTCTTTGCCCTTCGGCGCGAGGAAGAAGTTTTGGTGCATGCCAAGCGAGAGCCGGCGAATCTGAGGTAAGCGGCGAAGGCTCATCTCAACAATACTTAGTCACACTTCGGCATTCTGATGGCGTGGTGCTGGCGAGAAATGGTACCAGTGTCGCTTAATGAAGATTTGATTGAAGGCCCGGTCGTGGTTGAAGGAAGATGGGCGAGAAGACGTGGGAGGTGTGGTGGAGGGACGTACGGAGGACCAATTGAAGTCTTGTTCAAACAGCCCGCCGTAGTGTCCCACCCCGCGCTTGAGTCATGAGCGACTCACGAAAGTTCGACCTCACCCGCCCTCGCTCCAACAACATAACAAACCAGCATTGCAGCCAACATGTCCCGCGAGGCGCAAATCAAAGAGTGGCAGGACCGAGCTGAGGCCTTGAAGCCGCTCAACCTGAAGCAAATCGAGGGTCAATTGGGAGAACTGGACGCACACCTCACTCTCCGGAGCTACATCGTGGGCTACTCCCTCACCGACGCCGACTTGACAGTGTGGAAGACGCTGCGGGCCAACCGAGTCGCACATGCCTACATCAAGCAGAATCTCATGGTCAACCTGTCCCGCTGGTTCAACTTCGTCGAAGAGACCGCCAAGCCGTCCATTGACCTGCCCACGCGACCAGCAAAGGAGGCTGCAGATGAGGGCGGCAGCTATGACATTGGTCTCCCAGACACAGAAAAGGGCGTAGTCACCAGGTTCCCGCCTGAGCCTTCAGGCTACCTCCATATCGGCCATGCCAAGGCCGCCTTGCTCAATGACTACTTTGCGCACAAGAAGTACAACGGTAAGATGATCGTTCGCTTCGACGATACCAACCCGTCCAAGGAGAAGCAGGAGTTCCAGGACTCTATTCTCAAGGATTGTGAGCTGCTGGGAGTCAAGCCAGACCAAGTCACCTACACCAGCGACTACTTCCAGGATCTCTACGAGCGAGCTGTACAGATGATCAAGGACGGCCATGCGTATGCGGATGACACCCCACAAGAGCAGTTGCAAGAGGAGCGCAGAAACAGGATAGAGAGCCAGCATCGGAATGATTCTGTCGCGGACAACCTGGCACACTTCGAGGAGATGAAGAAGGGCACGGAGGAGGGTAAGAGGTGGTTCATCCGTGCCAAGTTGGACATGGCCAGCAACAACGGGGCTTTGAGAGATCCTGTCATCTACCGCTGCAACCCAGAGCCTCACCACAGGACAGGAAGCACGTGGAAGATCTACCCCACCTACGACTTTGCCTGCCCTGTTGTAGACTCCGTCGAAGGCATTACCCACGCGCTGAGAACGACCGAGTACAACGACCGCGACCCGCAGTATCAGTGGTTCATCAAAATTCTTGGCCTGAGACATGTCCACAACTGGAACTTCTCCCGCATGAACTTCATCCGCACCTTCCTCTCTAAGCGAAAGCTCACCAAGGTCGTCGCTGAGGGCAAAGTCTGGGGCTGGGACGACCCTCGCATGCCAACTGTCCGTGGTATTCGTCGCCGCGGTATGACCATTCCCGCACTGCAAGAGTTCATCGTCAAGCAAGGACCCAGCAAAAACATCAACATGATGGACTGGACCGCTTTCTGGGCGACCAACAAGAAGTACATTGATCCTATTGCGAAGCGCTACACTGTTGTCGTGGCGAAGGACAAGGTGACTTGCACCGTCGCTGGAGCACCAGAAGCTCCTCGTACTGAAGAGAAGGACGTTCACGCCAAGAACACCGATCTCGGCAAGAAAAAGGTCGTCTACAGCAAGACCATCATCCTCGACCAGGAAGATGCCCGATCGTTCGGCGAGGACGAGGAGATCACGCTTATGAACTGGGGCAACGCCATCGTCCGTAAGAAGAAGTACTCTCTCAACCCACTCAATCTCGTCAAGAGTGAGGTAGACAAGCCCGTCACCGAGCTCGAGCTGGAGCTGCACTTGCAAGGAGACGTCAAGAAGACGTCCAAGAAGGTGACTTGGCTATCCACCGAGCAGGAGCTTGTACCGGTCACCATGTACGACTTCGATTACCTCATCACCAAGGACAAGCTGGAGGATGACGACGTTCTTGAGAACGTGCTGAACGAGAAGACCGAGTTCAAGACGGAGGCTCTGGCGGACTGCAATGTGGCTGAACTGAAGGAGGACGACATTGTGCAGTTCGATCGCAAGGGTTTCTTTAGGATCGACAAGGCTTTCAAGCATGGCGAGAGCGCTGTGGCTTTCCAGATTCCTACGGGCAAGAAGATGTAGAGACTTTGACGGAGGTGATAGATGCTAGACATGACGAACGTGAACAAGACTTCTTCATTCTGGTGTTATTCGAGATCCATCTCCCACTGTCCCTCTTCGAAAAACACGAAAACGCAAAAACAAATGCGACAAGATCACCGGCGCTCTCGCCGGGTCGAAATCCTCGAGAAAGCTACCCATGAGATGGTGCGTAGCATGGTCGATGGCCTCGTGGCGGGGATGAATACAACTTTTCGTCAACTCATCTTCTTCAGTTCATCTCCATATCCCATCTGATCACTCGTACGTCCATGGCACGCCCTTTGACGTTGTCGATGGCCTCATCGTCGGGATGGAGACGAGTTTTCGTCAATTCATCTTCTTCATCTATCCCCGTCTCAGTTTCGAGCACTCGTCCGTCTATGCCACGCTCTTTGGCGTGATCGACGGCGTTATTTTGGGGATGAAGACGACTTCTCATCACCCGCATCTCACGACCGACGGCAAATCTCCTCATGGTATGCGGCGCGGCGTGGTCGAAGGCGTTGTTGTGGAGATGAAGACGACTTTTCGTTCGTTTCCTCCCTATCTTAACGTCATAGACCGATAGGCTCGTAGGATGCTCTGCAGCGTGGTCAATGGCATTGTTGCGGAGATGAAGACGACTTTTCGTCCATTCTCTCCCCATCCCAACATCCCCTACCCATCTCTTGATGGCATACTCCCTGGCACAGCCACTATTATTCTCGGAGAGAAGTCGAAAAGATATCAACACAAGTGTGATCCCTTTCACCTCGCCTCTCCATTCCTTTTCTCCCCATCTCCCTAGCACCTACCAACCCCCTCACCGCAAACTTCTCGGCACAGCCATCCGCTCATTCGAGGGGATCGTCGGGGAAGAAGAGAGCGTATAGTTCCACTGCTGCTGCTCCTCCCATTCTGGTGTAGCAGGCGGGGGCGATGGTAGAGGCGTACCTTCATCCTAACCCTCACCCTCACCCTCGACACCCGCAGCAGCGCTATCCTGCGGCGCGAGGATAGGAGGAGTTCGCGAACTCCCCTCCCCCACCGCCGTCGCGGTCGAAAGCGTCAAAACCCCCGCCTCCCGATGCCCAAACCTCGGCGCAAGCACCACCCCATCCCCACCCGCACCCCCCGCCCAGCGATCCTCCTCCCCCGCCGCGAGCGCCGCTCTCCGCCTCTCCGCCTCGGCCTCGCGGTTGCGGACGATCTGCATCTCATCCCGCTCCGCGCCGGCGGTGGCGGTGGCGTGGAGGGGATACGCGGGCGGTGGGAGGGGGTCCATCGAGGAGGCGAAGCCACCTAAGCGGGGGGGAGTGGCGCTGCTGGTGTCCGAGGGGGTTTCCTCGTCGATGGACGCGAGGGCGAAGCGCCTGCGGAGGGTTTCGCTCGGGTGGCGGCGCCTGCGATGGACGCGGTCGTCGCGCGCGTTCGTGGATGGAGCCATTCGGCGGGGATCCGCAATGGTGCGAGGGAGATAGTGCTCATCCGGGTTCAAATCACCCGCAGCGTCTGGGTCCGCTGCGAGCGCGCCAGAATCCCCCACCGCACCACGCCTACCCATGCGATCGATCAAGATCTCCGGACTAGGGAACCGAATGTCGTGCAGGGAGAGCACGGTGAAATCACACTCCCCTAGAAAGGGCCGCTCCAGGGGCATCTTCTCCAGCGCGGGGGGGAGGGACTTTGTCTCGCACAACAGGTGAGATCTAACCTCCCTCCCTACGGCCTTCGCCTTCTCCCCCAACGCGCACGCGCTGCGCGAGAGTCTATCACCTACCGCCCGTCCGTTCCCCACCATCTGCTCCCTGACAGCCCTCCCGGCATCGAGGAGCGTGGCGCGAACAGTGCTGGTCTCGCGGGGGACGACAGGAGCTTTCTCATGAGCGGCGGTGGTGGAATCCTTCCGCTTAAGAAGATCCCTCAACCCCTCTGGCTCATGAAAAAGAGCCTCACTCAAGTGGGGCCACATATTCGCGTCGCTGAGGGAGTTATACTCCCAGCGCTGACGGACGCCCCTCGCGGGGAGAAAGGTCGCCGCGCGCAGCTGCGGCATGGGAGGATACCGATCGTGGTCTAGGAGGAGCGGGCGGGCGTAGGTCACCTCCTGGTGGAAGATGGCGTGGTCGTTGGGGGAGTTTGGGGGGAGGAGGGGCGTGGAGCGGGCGCGGGAGAGCTGGGCGTTGATGCCGGGGGTGGAGAGGGCGCGGTGATGGTGGTGGTGTGCTTCACGTCGAGGAGCGGAGCGCGAGTTTGCGGTGCCATCTCCGGAGGTCAATGGACGGCCGTGCCGTGGAGCAGTACGCTCTGGTGTCTGTCCGTAGGCGTGCTCGGGGGATTGTCGACCGGCGGGAGCCATGATTGCTTGGAGGGGATGCCATGGATGTGTGTTGGTTGTATAGCACTTGGAATCGCTGTGGACGGGTCTGTTGGGTGAGTATGTGAAAAGGGGTTGCTAAGGGAATGAGGTACAGAGAGACAGCGAGACAGCAGGTCGTATGCATTTTGTGCGGACGGAATGTGAGGAAATTCGACATTTTGGAAATCATTTTCTTGTAGATGATGAGTAGTAAGCGGTCAGCAAAGTCAGGAAATTTTCGATAGGTTGGTATAAAGATTTCAAGGACGAATTCCAGGAGCCAAAGTTGGGCACTGCCAAGGACCTGTATCTTCACCATAAGAGGGCTGTATAAGATTTTGAGTTTGAGGAACCACGGAAAGAAATAGTCAGAAAGAAGATTGAAAGTATCGGGTCTTCATAAGGGTAAGGGTTAGTACTCATCTACGCAGTGGTATACCGCACGAAGATGAGATTTCTGCACTGCCGTCTCGAAAAAAGTCTCGAAGAAAAGAATTCCCGGGATCCAAAAAGCATCATCCAGACGCTTTCATTCCATCCTCGACTCATTTACTGCATCTCTCTGTTCTTGTATGTGCACCAACTTTCTGCTGTGGTGCATCACGTGCTTCGTGGGCGGGTCGGCTGGGAAAGTGGATATCCGCACTCTAGCGGCCCTTGGAGACCTTCTGGATGATGCTGGCGTGCTCGATATCGTCTGCGTCGTTGGCCTGGACGTCGGCTGCGAGACCGTTGAGGGAACGCTTGAGAGCTTCCTTGGAGGAAGAGTACATCATGCGGGGCTGCGAGATTCAGTCAGTCGCTGACCACTATCCCCACGAGATATGATTGGAACCCACGTATTGCGGCGCATCATCCGGCACCCAGGAGATAAAGGTGATCTTGCTGCGCTTGCCCTCACCACCATCGGCGTCGTACTCGACATCGAAGACGGCGTATCGCCCACCCATGACCACCTCGCCCTTCTTGTTCTTGCTCTTGGCGCCGAGAAGCTTCTCGCGGAACTTGGAGTAGTCGGGGTCGGACGACGTCTCCTCGACGACAATCTCCTTCCAGTCGTCGGAGATTTTGTAGATGATCCACTTGGTCGACTTGCCGAGCTTCAGGTCGTTGAAGGCCTGGATGCACTCGGGTGCGACCGAGACGCTGTGTGCATGCTCGTGTCAGTCTTCGCATGCGCTCGCTGCCGCCTGGAGGGGGGTTGTCGGCGGTGAAAGATAACCTACCCAGATTGTGCCTGCCGAGTCACATGTCAGCGATTGGAGCTCTCCCAGACAGGATTGAGGGATGCGCATACCATGATTGAGGTGTGTGAGGGTGTTGGAGCAGTGTCGCAACGGTGGGGGTCTGGTGGAGAGTGTTAGCGACTTTTTATCGACGAGGTCGAGTACCGGCGGCTGAGGAGTGCTGGCTGCCTGTCGAGTGCCAAGAGGGAGATTCGTCTTACCCCTTGGGAGTGGTGAGTGTGGTCAGGCAGCGGAATTGCAAGCTTGCGCGGCCTAAGGATTGGAGACGTCGGGGTGGTGGCGGTGGTGGATGTTGTTTGGGTGACGGCGTTGTTTATGGGTGAGCAGAAGTCAGTGCGCTAAAGGGTCCCGCCTGTTGACGTCTGCAGCGTGGCAGCAACGACCTCTTGGCAACGTGGGGTGAGACACCCGACATTCACTTGCCATGCTCGTGCACCCAGAATCACATGTTCTATCAAAAGCTTATTTACATCGTCTAAAACATGTGAAAGGCATTGGCAGAACATCCCATGATCGGATGCAGAAGACACTCATTCTCTCGAAAGCCACCAGTTGCGCCTGAGAAAGCTAGTCATCACCAACCAAAGTCTTGTGCACAGCAACAGCTCCCTTCCCGTCTCTCACTTCCCTCTCTCTTTATGCAAACCCAACAACATCAACCGCTGACAAAACCATCCCCATATCACAACTTCATTCATGCCCATTCCCATCCCAACTCCCCTCAATCAACTCCGAAATCTCGGACTTGCGATCCAAAACCCGCAACCGCTCCGCTCTCAGCTTTCCATGCACAAAAGCTGTTAGACTTGCGGTGCATAACGCAACTCCTTCAGCCTTATCGTCTCAAAACTGCAACTCCTTCGACCAGCATATCGAAACTCCTTGCATTAGCCAAAAGGTTCCAGCTTCTGCAAGGTTTGTATTGGTAAGCTTGTTGGTTTGGATGCGAGACGGTGCTTCTAATTGTGCCGTTTGTAGAGTGGGTATGTGGAGGGAGAGTTGAGGATCTTCGTTGTGGGTGCGGTATATAAACTGCCTCTTTGACTTCTTCCCATTTCGACTTCTCTCGCCACTTGCTTTCCGCCCACCATGTCCTCCCAACCTGGAAAGAAACTCCTCGTCATCCTCGGCATAACCGGCCAACAAGGCTCCTCCGTCGCGAACCTCTTCCTCAACGACCCCTCGCTCTCCAGCACCTGGTCCCTCCGAGGCATAACCCGCAACCCCACCAAACCATCAAACAAACACCTCATCGACGCCGGAGTTGACCTCGTAGCCGGCGACCTCGATGACGTCCAATCCCTCAAAGCAGCATTTAGAGATGCAGACGCCATCTTCGCCGTCACAGATTTCTGGCAATTCCTTCAGGCGGACCAACACCCCTCAACGTTCACTGAAGCGGAGAAGCGAGGCGTGAAGCCGAACGTCATCGCCATGGAGAAGGAACTCGTGCAAGGGAAGAACATCATCGACGCCGCGGCCGCTGTGCACAAGGAGAAACCCTTGCATCGACTCGTCATTTCGACGCTCTCGGATTCGAAGAAGTGGTCCAAGGGCGAGATTGCGAATAATCTGCACTTCGACGGCAAAGCGCATTACTGCGATTATCTCAAGGAGACGTATCCTTCCCTGGCGAAAGCGACGTCGTATGTGCAGGTCGGATTTTATTTGTCCAACAGCATCGGGAATCCGTTTTGGGCGCCGCATAAAGATCCCGGGAACCCTTCGGAGTACATCGTCCCTCACGGCAGTGTTCCTAAACCTCAGTACCCAGTTCCGTTTGTGAATCCGCCACATGATGTGGGATACTTCGTCGAAGCGTTGATCAATCGTGCCCCGCCGGAGACGGACATGCTGGGATACTGCAAGGAGCTGTCTTTTGACGAGTTTGCGGTGGTGTGGGGGAAGGCGTTGGGCGTCAAGGCACGTAGCAAAATCCTTGAGGAGGGAGACTTGGTGAAGCTTGGGGTGCCGGACTGGTTGGCTCAGGAGGTCTCTGAAAGTGGGCAGTATGGGACGAAGTGGGGCTGGGCTGGTGGTGATCCGAATGTGAAGACGCCGGAGGAGTGTGGTGTCGATATGAGCAAGTTGACGGATGTCGGAGAGTGGGTGAAGACGCAAGATTGGAAGTTGTGATATCGGGAGTGGCAAGATCGAGTGGACGGGAATTATATGTGTCAGTTCGTAACGCTCATTCAATGCATATCGTCGTAATGTACAATGCTACCTCACTTCAGGAACAGCGGGTGCGGCCACGTCTCTATTCAGAGCCGCAGCATGTATGTCCGTCTCTGGTGGGGGCAATGCTTGTCTCTCGAAGAGTCTAAGCCACCACTGAGGAGGATCCATCGGTCGGTGTCCGTTGTGTGTCGATGGGTAAATGTCGTTGAAGAAGTACCAGACTGTCATTTGTCAGCTGCTGCTCTATCCTCTTCATCACACTCTTCCACTTACCATGTCCGACAGCAATACCACACAGCTCATCCTTTGGCCAGTGTCCATGCAGCACCACATTGAATGCCACCAACACCCACGGCAACCAGGGTGCCTTGAACGTGAGCAAGCCCAGGAAGCTCAATCTCGTATCAGGATTCCGCCTTGACCAAATGTACACCAGCGTGCTACTAAGCGTAGTGCCCAGAAAGGCTTGACTAAACATCGGCGCAATCGCGAGGAGTGTGACGGAGGTGTAGGCGAGGAGCCAGCTGAAATGAGCGACCGATGCTGCCGACTCTTCGAGCATGCGGGCGTAGCGCTGGATGAAGAAGATGTGGAAGAGGAGGTTGAGGGATAGCGGGCCGAAGTAGATAAAGGTCGTTATCAATCGCCAGAACTGTCCGATCACTCAAGGTTAGTATACGTCTTCATCGTGTGGGCATGCTGGATGTACCTGCTGCTTATGGAAGACGGCGCGGAAGCTGTAGAATAGCTGGAAAGGAGTGAGGATCTGGCATTGCACCAGAATCCCGGTGATGACTGTCGCTGTGGTCCACCATCGTGTGCAAACGGGCATCTCGAAGAACCACTGCTCGAGTGGCAGCTGGCCCAATGCACCATCTCCACCGCCAACGACAGCGGCCATGCTGCAAGGGAGGATCGGTGCTGTCGGTCGGGGGGTGGTTCGATAAGTCGTGGTCCGTGGAAGTTGTGATGTCGAAGTAATAGTGATTGCGATCAGGCCAGATATGTGTTTTGAAAGTGGAAGAGCACGGCAGAAGGTGAGCAGCTCAACATGTGAACAGACAGCTGTCACGTTATCGACAACCACAAAGAGCGAAGGCGGCGCGTGGCAGTGGAGTTGCGGCGTCATCGGCATCAGCCACTTAAGCTTTCCGATCTCCGTCCGTGCCCCGGAAACAAAGTGGCAGGTCAAGCGAGCCGTCTCCAAGAAGGCATGCATGCGTAAACAAGGCGCATCAACAACCACTCCACGCCCTCCGCCTTCCCTTCGCATTGGATTCGACTTGCAGCAAACCCGACCGCCCTGCTCGATCTTGGATCCACCACTGAACGACTGAACCCTCCGCGCATCTTGGGAATACAGCGCATCGCATCCCTGGCTTCGACAGCCGACAACAGCTGCAACATTGGGGAAGCGCGCGCATTGGCGGAAGAGTAGAAAGCTCTTGGAAAGAGGATAGTAGAACATGGCGCGACCAAACAGAGGAGGGAAAAAGACCACAACAGGGCGCCAGTCTACAGGAGGGAAATCGGCCGCAAGGTCTACAACAAGTCGCAAGGCGCCGAGGACTAGCACTGCCAGTAATGCTGCAGCAGGAGGTATGTGATCGACTCCGCGACTGCTAATCTGTCATGCGACGGCAATTACGTTGTATGGACGAGATCGAAGGGGTGCTGACCTCCGAGACAGTTAAAAAGCCACATCGATACAAGCCGGGCACAGTCGCGTTAAGAGAGATCAGGAGGTATCAGAAATCGACAGAGCTACTCATGGCGAAGCTTCCCTTCTCGCGACTGGTAAGTTGCGCACCCGGTGTGAGTCCTATGCGAAGTTTGCTAACAGGTCATGAATAGGTACGAGAAATTTCAATGAACATGATGTCGGCGTCCTGCGAAGTCACGCGATGGCAGTCGCAAGCGATACAAGCACTACAAGAAGCCGCAGAAGCCTTTCTGGTACATCTGTTCGAAGACTCAAACCTTTGCGCCATCCACGCGAAACGCGTTACAATCATGCAAAAGGACATTCAATTAGCACGACGGATACGTGGAGCTTGGGGCGGTCTTGGATAGCGAAGCCTTGTCCAGAGATAACTTGACGAGACGAGGGCATCGGGTTTGGCAAATTATGATTGTGCTCAGCGAGGCGTCTGGCGAATTTGTTCGAGGTTGCGAGTGTTTGAATACCCAGAAATGGCTTACTGTGGAGACGGATTGTCAACGTGTTGTACGAACAGAGCTGAATACCACAGTTCTTGAAGAATAGGAAATCAAAGTCATCTCCTTCACATTTCTGCTCGTTCTCGTCTTCGTGTCGAGGCTTTGCCTTTGCCAAGCTTAACGGAGCTGGCGCGTGTTGAGCGCGTGAAATGAAGAACCCTGTGACGTCGCCTCATGCAGCTTCCAGACTTCCAGATCTCTTTGCCTGGCCAGACTCATCATACTATTTTTTATTCTTTGCGGTACTGCCTACTGTACGACAAACACCTGAAGTGACCTTGACGTAGCCCTCTCACTTCACCGACCATGCGTTGAGACTCTACGGCCAAAGACACGTTCCACTGACCGCTCGAAGCGGCAACCGAAACTATGCTGCCATACATCAATACCCGTGAGCGGACCTCCATCTGCTGCAGGAGAACGGCAGGTTAACGATTGACAGCGTTCGAGTACGTCGCGGGCAAACTGGGCGCTTCTAGCGATGAGCGTGAGTGGAACTTAACACTACATACTGAAGAGGCCGCCGACTGATATTTCAATCACAGTCAAGCTCATTGTCCTCTTCCTGTTCTCATATCCGCTCGCTGCCGTCCTCAAAAGACTCCCTGACGACAAGCCGCACGTGAAAAATGTCTTCAACATCTCGTGAGTCTACCACTCAGCTTAAGGCTAAGACTTCGACTAACGAACCCCCAGCGTCACAATCTTCTACCTCATCGGCCTCTTCGATCTCTGGTCCGGGCTAGCAGTTATCCTCTTCGATTCAATCGGAACCTACCTGATCGCCGCCTATGTGGAAGGCCCCTACATGCCATGGATCGGCTTCGTCTTCCTTATGGGCCACATGTCCGTCAGCCACATTTACCGCATGATGGCGGACGCTCCGAGTTCCATCGACATCACCGGCGCACAGATGGTCATTGTCATGAAGTTATCAGCCTTCTGCTGGAACGTATGGGATGGCAAACAGCCTGACTCGGAGCTCAATGAGGTTCAAAAGGAGAGAGCCATTCCCAAGCTACCTGACCCTCTTAATTATGCTGGTTTTGTGGCCTTCTTCCCATCGATTATGGCCGGCCCAGCCTTCGATTTTGTTGACTACGAACGATGGATTACCACCACCATGTTCGACCTACCTCCTGGCACAGATCCCTTGAAGGCACCACCTACCCGAAAGAAGCGAAGAATCCCGCGCAGTGCCACGCCCGCACTGTGGAAAATGGCCATCGGCCTGATCTGGATAGTCGGTTTCCTGCAACTGAGCGCGTACCACAATCCTCAAGTCGTTCTAAGTGATCGATATGCCAAGATGAACTTTTTCTGGCGGGTGTATCACCTCCACATGCTGAACTTCGTCCAACGAATGAAGTACTACGGCGTGTGGACTCTGACCGAAGGAGCCTGCATCTTGTCTGGAATCGGGTACAAAGGTCTCGATCCAAAGACTGGCAAACCTGACTGGGGTCGTTTGACCAATATCAAACCAGCTGGCGTGGAGTTTGCGCAGAACAGCCACGCATACCTGGGCAATTGGAACATCAACACGAATCACTGGCTACGAAATTACATGTACTTGCGCGTTACTCCTAAGGGGAAGAAACCAGGATTCAGAGCAAGCATGGCCACGTTCGTGACTAGCGCTTTCTGGCACGGCTTCGCTCCTGGATATTACATGACCTTCGTCCTGGCGAGCTTCATCCAGAATGTAGCCAAGAGTGAGCTCGACATTTCCATATCCTTTAACCATACTAATACAATTCCCAGACTCCCGCCGCCTACTCCGCCCCTTCTTCTTCACCCCCGACGGCACCAAACCCACCAAATACAAACCCTACTACGACGTCTTCACCTGGCTCGTCACGCAACTCGCCTTCTCCTTCACCACAACCCCCTTCATCCTCCTCTCCGTCCACGACAGCGTCCTCGTCTGGGCCCGCGTCTACTTCTACTGCATCATCGGCGTCGCCGCCCTCAACGTCTTCCTCCTCACCCCGGGTAAGACCTGGCTTTCCAAGAAGGTCAAAGCCCGCAGCACGTCGACCCGTCCCGACCTAAAGCGGAACGAGAGTCAGGAGAGTTTGCAGGGTGCCACGTTGGGGGTTCCGGTAGATCCTGGGAAGGAGTATGATGAGATGGTTGATGAGATTGTTGAGGAGGTTAAGAGGAGGAGGGGGAGTAAACCTGGTCCCGAGGGGTTGGAGTTGAGGAAGTTGGTGGAGGAGACGTTGAATCAGAAGAGTAAGAAGGGCCAGTGAAGATGATATTGGATGGAGGATGGGCGTGTTGCAGGTGTGGAAGGAGGTTCTTGGATGGAGAGATTTGGCAAGCATGCGTGTTGGTGGCGTTGCGTTTAGCAGTTTTCGGTAGACAAGAGTCCATTGTCGCCTGACTCGGGCTTTCCCTGCATTTGAGCTCGCTGTAGTTGGCATATGTGAGAAGATTCTGTAGCAGCAAATCAGTAACCATATAAACCCTCGAACGAGGCAAGCGCCACGAATAGATGCACAATTCAAAGCCATCGTTTCAGGGTATCTCGTTCTCAAATCCTTTCACAACCTTTTCCACCTCTACAGCGAACCCTTCCAAGCCTGCCGAAACACCCCCACCAACTTCTCCCCCTCCTTCTCATCCCTCAACCTCTGACTCAAGAACCCCTTCAAATCATCCCAGAACTCCTCTCCCTTCAGCAACTCCCCCGCACCACTTTCCGCCGTCTTGCCCGCCTCAGCCGTAGCCTTCTCGCTCTCCGGCGCGGGACTCTTCTCATCCACATCCATCGCGTCGCCTCCCGCCTGGGGTACGGCTTCCTTCTCAGGCGCCTCCGACTTGGGCGTCACGGCCGGACTCTGCGCGCGCGGTGTCCCGCCCGAACCGCCCATGATCATCACACTCAACTCCACATCCCCACTCACGCCCAGATCCTTCAAGGTCTTCAGATCCTGCGCGGGTTTCTTGTTGTAGAGCAGCTTGATCTTGTCTTGCGCGAGGCCCGTCTGCGAGGCATATTGCGTTTTGAGGTCGTGGATTGTTGTGTCGAGGGTTATGGAGGGGAGGGTGATTGTTTCGCCGGCACGCATGGGTTTGAGGGTCGCGGTTAGGGTGGAGGAGGCGGCTTGTTGCGTGGATGTTGGGCCGGAGCGGCGGGGGAAGGGGTGGGTTTGGCGGGGGAGGATGTACTATATAATCACACCTATTGGTATTATTGCATCGAGGAGGATGAATGTTATGTACGTACGGGACTCTGATTCGGATACTTCCTAGGATCGCTGACATGGTCGGCGGGCAGTTTGATGGGCTTCTTGTCGATGGTGGCGAGGAACTGTTTGGCGAAGGTGACTTCGGACATGATGGTCTTTTGGAAGGAGGAATAGAGTGTTTCCAGGGCCGTCTCGTTGTAGAACGCCAGATTGAACTTCGGCGGTATTGAGGTGACGTGGATGAGTGAGGTCAGGTTTGGAGCTGGTCACAAGCTTTCTGGCTGGCTCGAGCTTTCGATGTGGGGCGTGCGAATGAGTGAAAGTTTGGCTGCTGCTGCATCTTCAATCTTCAATTCTCGACACATCGCATATGTAACAACAACACCACCTGCCGATCATGGCGAACCTCTACAACCTCGAACCGCAGCCCACGGCAAAGGTCGTCCTCAACACCACCGCCGGCGACCTCACCATCGAACTCTTCGCGAAACAAACTCCCCTCGCCTCGCGCAACTTCCTCCAACACTGCCTCGACGGCTACTACACCAACACAATCTTCCACCGCCTCGTCCCAGGCTTCATCATCCAAGGCGGTGACCCCACAGGAACTGGCTCTGGTGGAATAAGCGCGATCAACGACGGCGAACCCTTCCAAGATGAATTCCACAGCCGTCTTAAATACAACCGGCGCGGTCTGCTGGGAATGGCGAATGAGGGCAAGGATAGCAATGGGAGTCAATTTTTCTTCACACTGGATGCGACGCCGGAGTTGCAGGGGAAGAACACGATGTTTGGGAGGATTGAGGGCGATACGATTTACAATTTGATGAAGATGGCGGACGCGGAGATGGTGGAAGGAGAGGGGAGCGAAAGGCCGCTGTATCCGACCAAGATTACCGGGAGTGAGGTATTGGTGAACCCTTTTGAAGGCATGGTTGCCAGGGCGAGAGAGGCGCCGAGGAGTAAGGGTGAGGAGGTCAAGACTCAGATCAAGAAGAGGAAGAAGCCGGCGGGGAAAAATGTGCTGAGCTTTGGGGTGGAGGAGGGTGAGGAGGATCCTGCGCCGGTGGTGAAGAAGGTTAAGGCAAATCCGAAATTGGTTGTGGTGGAAGAGGAAGAGCCGGCGAAGGTGGAGAAGGTGCAGAAGAACAAGGCTCCGAAGCCGAGGGAAGAAGAGCCAGAGGTAGAGGCGGAGACGGAGGCCCCAAAACCTGTCAAGCAAAAGCCGGTGGCGGAAGAGAGCGAGGATGAGGCAGAAGATGAAGAGCCAGGAGACAGGCGCCAGAAAGCGCTGGACAAGACAAATGCGGAGATCGAAGCTTTAAAGGCGAGCATGAAGCGAAAAGTCGACACAGGTCCCAAGGAGAAAGAGAAGCCGAAGAGCGCGCTGGAAGCCATGATACCGAGTACGAGCACACGTGGGCGGAAGCGAGGCAAGGTGGCGGACGAACGAGGAGCTATGGACATGTTCAAAGCATTCAAGCAGCAACTCGACGGGCTGCCTGCTGAAGCACCTCAAACGAACGGTACAACGAAGCAACCTGAAAGCAAAGAGAATGGCCACGCTGCCGAACCCACAACTACTGAACCTGTTGACGAAGAAGCTGAGCTTTGCGACCTGCACTTTATTGCCAACTGCCAATCCTGCAAATCTTGGGACGAAGATAAGCCGGATGGCGAGGCCAACGAAGATGGCGATGATGATCCAGGATGGATGGCGCATACCCTCACTTTTGCCAAAGATGTACTGGGTAAAGACTTGGAGTGGAAAAAGAAGATGGAGGAGATTGAAGTCATCGATCCTAGGGAGAAGGCAAGGGCTATCAAGGAGGAGAACAGAAACGGGAAGGAGAAAAAGTCGAAGAGATGAGACCGGACTTCGAGGAAACGCCAGAGCGACAGGAAGGACGGAAACATCGAATCGTCGTACAGCTCTTTCTGGACTTTCCGCGTCAGCTTCGAATCCGACCTGGACATTATTTGAACGCGGCTTGAATAAAAGCATACCCGGCAAAGTATGTTCACTGCAGTACCACGTCGCTAGGACGACCTACCTGGATTCGACACAATTCTCGCTTCCACGACTGGACTATTGGCAAAATGAAGCGACCTACTCAAACTTATTAACGACCAGCTCGAGGACCATAAAGGCGAGCTCCGCGGTATTATCGTTTCAAGTACCACTGTCGAGCTTGGCATGTGCTGCTTTCATTGGAGAAGGAAGCGCTACAGATAATGACGATCCTGCCCCGGCTTGGCAGGTCCTCCGTACCTGCAGGCGTGACCAACTCTACGAGAAATGCTTGCTTCAAACAAGCATCACAAGCCTTGGGTGTTGTTCACGCGCTAAGATGGTGATAGGCAGGTGGTAAAGTGTCTCACGCACAGGGAGATTGAATAGGTGAGAGGCAGAGAAGTATTTGAACTCATTCACTTCCCCTTCTACCTTGATGGATATCTGAATCCTGCAGATCGTTTCTTGGCTGCTCTTTCCTCCGAAAGTCTAACTTTTCGACTTCGAGATGTATTCTTCTCTCGCACTCCTAGGCCTCACGGCCTTCCAAGGCGCACACGCTTGGGGTAATCTTGGTCATGAGACGGTAGCACTGGTGGCCACAAATTACGTCAAGACCGCGACGAAGACCTGGGCTCAAGACATTCTCGGAGACACCTCAAAGGACTACCTCGCCAACGTTGCCACCTGGGCCGACTCCTACCGCTATAACAGCGCTGGCAAATTCTCCGCTCCCTACCACTTCATCGACGCTCAAGACAATCCCCCATCCAGCTGCAACGTCGACTACGACCGCGACTGCACCAACGGCGGGTGCATCGTCGCCGCCATCGCAAACTACACCAACAGAGTCCAGTCCACCTCTCTGTCCGACACCCAGGTGGACTACGCCTTGCGCTTCATCATCCACTTCCTCGGCGACATCACCCAACCGCTCCACGATGAGTCGTACGACCTGGGAGGCAACGATATCGACGTGACCTTCAACGGCGACGACACGAATCTGCACGCCAGCTGGGATACTGCCATCCCAGAGCAGCTCGTAGGCGGCTACTCACTCTCGGATGCCCAAGACTGGGCCAACGACCTCATAAAAGAAATCGACAGCGGATCCTACAAGTCCCAAAAGTCCTCCTGGGTTTCCGGCCTCGACATCACGGACGCGAAGGGCAGTGCAATGGGCTGGGCCACGGACGCCAACGCCTTCGTGTGCAGTGTCGTCGCGCCAAATGGTTGGGATGGGCTTGAGAACGCGGAGCTGTATCCTGACTACTACAACGGTGTCGTTGATACCGTTTCGCTGCAGATTGCCAAGGGCGGGTATCGGCTTGCGAAATGGTTGGATGCTATCGCGGCACAAGCCTCGAGCAAGAAGGTCCGCAGGGATGAGGGAGATGCGGTGGAGGATGAGGTGGAGCAGGATTTGAGTGGGAGGACTTTGTTGCCGGCGAAGAAGCCTTTGACGGCGATTCAGAGACGGCGGGCGGCGATTGGGTTTGGGTGTGGGGATCATAGCCATTGATGATGGGGTGTAGGGAAACGGTGTTGGGGCAAGCGGTGGGAGAGAGGGAGTCGATTGTGGTTCATGAGATAGAGATAGAGAGGAAATGAGGAGATGAATCAGATGAGTGCCTAGTCCTTAGTCTTGCAATCTTTATGTTGCTATGGCACCCCTTATCTAGCGTTGTTGGCTACGATGAAGTTGCCACTTTGTCGCTGGTACATACTGGTCGCGCACGACCTCAGTCGCAATGATGAAAAAATCCTTGTGTTGGCACAGGCGACGCCGAATCGCCCTTCGCCATGTTGTGCTTGACCCTGAAACTCTTAGGTCGGAAGGCGATGAAAGGACCAAGATAAGTTGAGACGAGTTGTTGAGATGGTGTAGGAGCTGCTTCCTCAGCTCGGCTTATTCACCTCTCTATTTAAGGTTGGCGCTAAAGATCCTTAGATCGTCACCTACATGATGGATTAATAATGTCGTCGATGGCTGAACATCACCACAACAATTTGGTCCGACACTTGTGAAATCTGCACAATAGATCAGCAACCATGGCGACGGCAGCAGTAGTGCAATACGCCGACAACAAGGGCGAGCACAGCTGCTCCAAAGATGACTGCTGGATGGGAGTCACCGACCCGAAGAAACGAAAGCAGATCCAGGATCGTCTAGCCCAACGAGCAAGGCGTAAGTGTCATCAAAAGACAGAAGCCCTCCTAGTGCATCTCTGCTTACAGGCGAATCAGGAAAGCGGCTCGCCCTCGCTAAGAAGCAGAATGTGCCGGCCGCCTCGCAACTAGTCCGGAGGAAAGAGCAGATCAAGCCTGATGAAATCGGCATCCATCCTGCTTTCATTTCTGGGTTGAATAGAGCGGACGACTCCGAGTCCTTGCCGTTGATGCCTATTCCGCTCAATGTCTACTCCGCCCTGTACAAGAATGGAACGTTCCTGGGCCTTGCCTGCAGCAACTGCGTCCCTTGTCTGTCCGCGCCAGCTGGACCGGACGTTCCAGAGTCGTTGCGACCTACGAGTGTGCAGCTCATGACCATTCACCCGCCTTGGATCGATCGGTTCCCGTTTCCAAAGATGAGGGAGAACTTCATAATGCTTCTTGGGGTTGTTGATCCAGAGGAATTCTTGTGCGATATGTTCAACGGCCCGAGCTTTACGTTAGAGGGTGGTGGTGCGAGTTGGGACCCTAAGGTGTGGAGCATAGAGGAGTCGTTTAGGAACAAGTGGGGGTTCTTGTTTGATAAGGACTTGTTCGGCGCTTAGTACTTGCAGTACCTATCTGTTTCCTTTAGTCTAAAATTCATGACCAGCTTTGGCTTACATCAGAAACAGTCTACACAGCCTTCGCAAAAGCTACGATCCGCTCCACAGCCTTTTCATGAACATCAGGTACAGCCTTGCGGAAGATCAAGGATGTAGCGTGGACGATTCCCAGATTGACCTCCGCTGTCACCCTGACTCCAGCGGCCAGAAGCTTCCGATAATATGCCATTCCCTCATCACGCAGCGGATCGAGCTCGTCCATGCTCAAGAGATGCGGCGGCAAGCCTCGAAGATCTTGCTCTGTTGCAAAATAAGGCCAAGCCAGGGGATTCGTCTTGTCTTCTTCCTTGGGAGCATAGAATTGAGCCATTCCATCTACTCCTGGGATATTCAAGAAGTACCCATCGCACTCAACGAGACTTGGTAGCTCTGCAAGTTTCCTCTCGATTGGCCAGCCATATGCTCCTGAGATGAACGGGACTGCGCCGTACACACCCGCGATGATATCACTCCAGCCTTCGCGGTTCGCTTTGAGGGCAGTGGCCAGAGTCAGGTTTGCGCCGCCGCTCTCTCCTTGGATGATAATCTTGCTGACACCCAACTCCTTCTTGTGAGCATGGACGTACCTGACAGCTGCTGCGCAATCGTTCAGTCCCGTGGGAAACTGACAGTGATTGCCATCGGGTTGCCAAGCGTTGCGGAAGTCGACACCGATAGCGACCACGCCTTTCAAGGCCAAAGACTTGAGCCAGCGGAGGTGAGGCTTCGCAGTCGTTTCCAAGATCGTCGCTCCTCCACCATGGATGTACAACACAGCTGGTACGTTATCAGACCCTTTGGCCCTGTAGACGTAGAGCTTGATTTTGCTGCCGTCGAAGCTTTCGATTGAGATCTCGGTCTGCTGTACGTCAGGCTCGGAGGCATCGCCCGGGAGATCGTTTGGAAGTTGCTCGTAGACGGCACTGAAGCCTTCATGGCTGACTTTGCAATGCTGCTCCTGCTCTTCGGGTGTCTTCGCCCAGTCCATGACCGAGTTGCTTGCCAGTCCCATCGACTTGAGAGCAGTGAGCAGATCCGGACGAGTTCGGGGGTCGTGCTCGAGGTCCAGATCCGGGTTGCCGATACGGCCGGGGGCTTTGTACGCGGTGGACGACATTTTTGGGAAACGCGGCTGTTTTTAATCTCGACCTATCTTTCAAGTTTGCTTGGATGAGCAGACATCGCCGCTCTCAGCCCGGGTGCCGCGACTTATATATATCGTCTCTCCTTCTCAAACACCGGAATCGATTAGCAGGCTTGGCTCGAAGCATGGCTCGAAAATAGGACCAATGTGGAAGGAGCTGACAAACAAAAGCTGTAATCGCGCACTCTAGCACACCAGGAGATGTCAAGCCTCCATGGTCGACTTGGGGCGTACGGAGGATGATCTGGGCAGAAGCCTTGACTCTGACCAAGTTCTTATAGTCAGAAATGCTGGAGTCAGAATGCTGGAGTCAGAAATTAAGTCTGGCTGACTGACGACTTATGAAATTGTGCACAACTGGATGCACAAAGATCGACCCAGCACAATTTTGATCTATCACGAGACTCTGCGAACAACACAATCAGGCGAGAGTCGCAAAAGGTAATCTCTGCTGTAATGTAACTCGACAAGCACGCCATCGACTTGCCACTGATGCACCTATCAGAGCTGCCCCTCGACCAAGAGGATGTAGCTCGGCTCAACGCGGCCAACAGTTGGCCGTAGATACATTTTACCTTCAAAGACCACAGTAAATCTGTTGAAGTTCGGCACTCCACAACTTGCATCAAACTAAACATGGCGGCTGCAGTACACGCATGGACCCAGGCGAGGCCTGACGAGAAGTCATCCTCAGCCTTGACCTTTGAGCCGTTCGAGCTACCCAAGACCAACCAAAGAACTCTAGGAGCACCTCACCAGCCTGGTACTATCTCGCCCCTGGCACTGAAACCATCTGGTACCGGGAGCACCGACATCGATCTTGACCAGGCTGTCCAAACGATCAAGGATTTACAAGGCCGAGACAAATTTCTGACCAAAAGCCTCGCTCAGCATGGCACAATTCTCTTCCGAGGCCTCCCAATCCACGATGCAAATGACTTCAGCAAATTTGCTCATGCATTTGGCTACCAACCTCACGAGATCATCGGGATTGTGGTAGATCGCCCGCTACTGGCTCCCAACGTCGCTCCAGCCAACGAGGCTCCCAAGGATGTGCTGATTTACAACCACAACGAATCTCCACAGGTCCCGCACGCACCAGAGTATATTTTCTTCTATTGCCACAAAGCCCCTGCGAAAGGAGGCGAGACTCCAATCTCGTCTTCACTAGAGCTCTTCCACCGGGCAAAACAGGCGATTCCAGAATTCGTCGATGAGTTGGCCGAGAAAGGGATACTGAGCAAAGTGACGTACAAGTTCGACAAGATGTACGAAGGTGGTTCGACTCTGAAGCAGGCGTTCGGGAAGCACATCCAGGACGACGATGACGAGCAGACACGACGCGCCAAAATCGAGGCGCAGATTGCCCGCTACGGCCGTGGCAAATACACATCTTGGGAGTGGACCGACGATGGTATTGTCCTCACACACCAATTGCCGGCCGTCAGGACACAGCCAGAAACAAATCTTCCCACACTGTTCACTGGATTAGCGGCGTACTACAAGAATGCCAAAGTCAACTCAAAGACGAGGAAGGGTGCCGCACAGCAGTGTTTCGGTGATGGCACACCGATTCCGGAGAAGTATTTGAAGACTCTGGCCGAGATCACCGACGAGATTCGGGTTTTGCACAAGTGGCAGCAAGGCGATGTGCTATTGTATGACAATATCATCGCTCAGCATGGCAGGCAGCCTTGGGAGGGAGAACAGTCGGATCGAGTCATCTTGGCCAGTCTGTTCGATGGCGAGAGTGTGCCTGGAGCGTATACGGGCAAGGACTGGGCGCAAGTTGTGCAGGCGCTTGATGACGCATGAGGATATCTGGAGTGAAGATGTATGACCATGAGTGTCAGATGGCGGCGACTCCTTTTCGATTCAACCAACTCTAAACAATCAGTTTTGCAGTCCTTGAATCAATGCTTGCGACCAAGTAGGATATCATCACAGGATCATCTTTCGCAAGTTCTCCTTGATTTTCTCGCCATCCCGATCAATCCGTCGCCCATCAAGCAAGCCCTGATCCAAGCTCTCGTGTGCACAGTCCTCTTCGCTTTCCTCCGACTTGGATCCATCACCATGGCTCTCCCCCAACTTAGAATCTTCATAGCTTTCCCCACACCCGTCACTCGTATGTTCTTCACCTTGCTGATCACCATTCCGTTGTTCCAACATGATGCCGAATGGAAGAGTCCCAACATATTTCTTTGGATTTGGACCAATGATCCAGTAACTCTGCAGTCCTGAAGATGTTTCAAATTGGAGACCCATACCGACCTCCTGAGCTGATGGATCCAGGACGGGATGCGGCGCAATGTAGGCGAAAGTCACTTGTCTCTCCACCATTAGTGCTTGCATACGACGTTCCGCGTCAACCTTGGTGCTGAAGAGGCCCTCGAGTCGGCTGTAATGGACGTTGTCATACTCGTGCTTTGGGGGAGAGCCATGCTTCAATAACTTTCTCCCCAGTCGTCGCAGATGTCCCGGTGGCTTGAGAGGCTGGAAGTGGCCGAGAAGAACGTAGAGCTCAGGTTCAGTAACTTTCGTCTCAGGTGCAAGGTCTGAAACGTCCTGGATATGAATGGAGTCCAGAAGGCTCGACATGCAAAGGCTCTTCCGGCGTCAGACGGTGACTTCGGTGGAGAGCGGGAGCTGCTTCTCTCGGTCGATGCTCCATGAGTACATATACTGGCCAACATCTTTATCAGTGGTCTGGTGGGTAGTTTCCGGAACAACCTGGCTTGCAAACATCCTTTGTCTGACTAAAGCGTGTCGCTCATGCATATGCCGTCGCTTAAGGGCGAAATGTGATCTCACAAAGGTTCAGCTTTCGTATCATCCAGAATGCTCGTAGAAGTTTCGCCATCGTATAGAGAGCCCTTTCAATCGGATCATTCCAGCTCAACATTTCAGGGAAATGGCAGATAGATGACCGGTTCTGTCAGTAGCCCCCAGGACTCTAGCTGAATCCAGCACCAGATTGTCGCCACGGACTACAGGCCGCCGAACCCACTATCCAAGCCACCAGTCCCTCGCAATCCTCTATACCAAATCGCTTTCCACTTTCCTTCAATCTTCCTAAACTCAAAAATTACCGCATTCTGCCTCCTCACACCCTCCGGACACCCCGTGATCTCCGTAGTCATAAAAACATGCGCATTCCCGGTCTTCTCCGTGATTTTGACATCGAAGGAGAAAATCTCAATCTGATGAGCCGGATTTGCAGCGATGACTTCCCTAATCTGCGCCAGGAGTTCCTCGAGGTTTACGATCTTTTGATTGGGGTCCAGATCAGGTTCTGCGCGGAATGTTGGTGCGTAGGCGTCCCAGACTGGGTTTGCTCGATCTAATCGGCGGGTGTTGCAGGCGTTGACGAAGCTGTGACAGAGAGCTTCTAAATGCTCGGCATCTGCCGACTTCTCGATGGGAGTATCCATGTTGATGAAGGATGGATGTCAGAGCTCACAAGACGTGAAGTAAGCAAGCCTTTTCGCCCTAGCTTCGGCTTCCCGATTGGGTAATCCGCGTTTTGTAGAAGCATCATCATCCACTCGTTTTCTGAGCATCATTATGATTTCCGGTCCATCGTCTAGTTGGACGACAAGTCTGCTCGAGATCCATCGTAATCTAGAAGTTGGTGCCGTGAGGCTGTCGGACTTTGGCAGAAGCCTCCAGCCGTCTTCATCTCAATCGGCTTGGCCAAATTAGGCTTTACCTAGTCTCATCAACTTCGGCCCGTGACAGGGGAATGACAGGCCGGCCACATCGGCTCGATGGTCAAGGTTGTTAATGTGTTTCCTAAACGCTCAAAGAGTTGTGCTCGTCGTTCCATGACAAGTTGGAACGACAACATTAGCACCCAGACTTGTGACGAGACCGAGCTCCTAATCGCACTGCAAATTGCTTAGATACTACCTATGTAGCTGGTGAGCAATGGGGATGAATCTACCACCTTGAGCGGCAAGAGGACTGGAACGAGATAGAAGATCACAACGTCTCTTTATATTATTTATGCTTTCCCCATTCCTGCATTCTCCAGCCTCAGGGTGTCAGCCTCGTGGTTTTCCTTGAGGAAATCTGATGGATCTTCCGCGTTGCCATCCATGTCCACCACGACATCGCCAAATACAGCGGACATCTGTTCGAGAGTGATACCTTTGGTCTGTTGTGGAGTCAGCAAGCATTCCCAAACGCAACGACGGTTTCATACGTACGTTAGGGAATAGAAATATGGCGATAACGAATTGCAGAGCCGTCAAGCCAATAAAGACGACGTAGAAGTAAGCACCTATGCTTTGTAAAGCCGTAGGCGCGGCGACCGTGAAGATGAGTTGTCCGACGAATGAAATGGAGATCGACGTTGATACGCCGAAAGCACGCCATTCTCCGGGGAACAGCTCAGAGCTGTAGACCAGTGCAGGACATTCCAGGAATGCCGCATAGATGAAGGCCACGAGTAGCGTGAAGACCGCTCCACCGGTTTGGGCGGGCTTGTTATCGATCTTAGTGCATACGCATAGGCCGGTCAGGAGCAGTATGTTGACTCCAAGACCGATGACTAGCTTGCATGTTAGCCGTCATGTTCAGGGGTTCGAGAATCCCATTCACTGACCAAGTTGTCTCGACCTGCCAATGTAGTCTCCCAGGACACCTCCAGTGAAGTTGCCAACAAAGTTCATCACGCACCACACAGCGCCGAGGATAGAGGCAGTGAAGGCCGAGAAGCCAAGTCCCTGATAGATGGTCGATTGATACGCTGCAATGAAGTGTCAGTTGAGACTCGTTTGATAGATGACAGTCACATGTTCATACCAAGGACAACAATGACACCAGAGCATTGCGTGCACCATATTGCCATCCAACCAGTGAGGAACCTCCTCTGTAGCGAGCGCTGTGTCAGCGCCTGGCGGAGAGGCAACTTTGTTCTTTTCTCGTATGCAATCTGCTCCGTGATGATATGCATCTCACGGTGGGCGAACTCGTGGTTAGGGTCGTCCTTTCGCTTGTGAAGCTTGACCAAGATTTTCTCAGCCTCTTCCGAGCGGTCATTCATGCAAAGCCATCGAGGTGATTCAGGTAGCTTAAATGTTAGGAGGAACAGCGCAAGCGGGAAAAGGCCCTGGAGTCCAAAGGGAAACCTCCATCCCACCTGCAATATAGGTGAGTCAGGAGGACTGAAATTTGGTCGAGTGGAAGTCCTTACCTGTGAAGAGGTGTGAAAGAAGCCAACTCCGACCCAACCAGCAATCACGTTACCAAAACCGATCATGCTCGCTGCAATTCGTAAGCTTTTGTAGGTTAGCCACTGTAGCTTGAAGACGTACCGTGAAGGCCAACAATCAATCCCCTATTCATCGGGGGCGCAATCTCAGCCTGATATGTAGGCACAGTACCAGCGCAGATTCCCATCGCTGCTCCTGCTATGAGCCTTGCAACAATCAACATAGAAGTGCTGACACTGCCAGCTTGTAGGCCAGCACCGATGACTCCGATGACACCACCGAATCGCATGAGAGCCAGTCGTCCAAACTTATCCGCAATGACAGGGGATGCCCACATCGCCAGAATGCCTCCAGTATAGACCATACCGTTCCAGATCGTTTCGATAGTTTGGACATGTTGTGCGCCAGGACCTTCGGGATCGAGTTTCATGTACTCGAAGAACGAGGCTTTGGTCAGAGTCTATTGGTGTCAGCGCCTTTCGGTCATGTGAGAACGGAGTTCTGTAGACTGAGAATGAACTCACATTTCCCAGAATGGCGTTGGTGTAACCATAGGTCAAACTACCCATGGTGGCCGCCATGGCGATCTACGGCACAGTTAGACAAGAGTGCACACCATCCAATGCCTGTAAAACTCACAAGAATATTGTACCCCGACGGCCGATGCATCTTGTGGACATGGCAAGGCCACAGCACGGTAGCTATTATTCTCGAGAATGGTGCGTGTTGTTTGACAAGATAAGGATGAAGCAGATGCAAGACACATCAACATAACTTGATGATCACTCTGCGCCTCCCGAATGCAGGCACTGGTATAGGAATTGCCGTCGCGTAATGATCGTCACCGATCGCGAACCACTTCGGCGGCAACGAGGGCCACGCAACCACAGACTCCAGACCCCAGAGGCTCCGCCTCCGCTTCCTTCGACTGATGAAGTGCGGAGGCATGTGGAGAGTAAGGGTGGTTCTGAGGTCTGGATTGGGTATGACCGATTGGGGTTTGAGGTGTCTTCTCACGTGCATGGCGGTACCACACTGCCGAGCGAAGGAACAATTCAAGCTTCACGTAAGAACGCTTATACCACGTGGGCGCCAGTCGGTCGGTATCCAAGTCCCATTGCCGAACTTTGCACAGGTGCCGTTGCGATGGAATGATGGAGCTGAGGAAATAGCTTTGAACAGGCGATGGAACAGAAGAAATCCGTGGGCCGAAGACCAAACGAGAACGGTAATACTGGATTGGGAAACACCGCGAATGTTTCTGTCAGCCTTGTATACCGCTGCATCGCATTTAGTGAGCCCATTGTCCAGTCCAGGAAAATAGCTTACGATGCACTGGACAGAACTATCAATCAGCGCCATTCGACAACCAAACAGCACCGCTCGAGAACCACAATTGTGGATCAGCGAGGTCAGCATAGACCGGCGCCAATTCCGCAGGCTGAGCCACTCTGCCGGTCGTTAAAGACTCTGTGAATGCTCGCAGAGTATCTGTAGTGAAGCCGCCTGAAGCCAGGAACAGTGTGAGAACCACACCTGGTTGCACAGCTTCAACACGAATGCAACGATGGAGGACCTGGCGGGCGAGTGCGCGGACCTACTATGCCACAAATGCTTTCCATGAAGCGTATGGGAGAAGGTCTGGGTTTGGTGTTAAGGCTAAGTCGGACGCAGTGCAGAGAAGCGACGAGCCAGGGGCATGAGTATAATGACCGTTTCATCGCATACAAGCACTCAACTGCCTCTTCGCAAGATTACCTCGATATCTCACCAGGCGAGAACTATCTAGGACTCAGCAAAAGAGTAAGAGAGCGCTCTTGGTAGCAACACAGCAACAAGATGATCGAGCAGCGCAATGAATCTCTCGGAAAAGGGACATCGCAAACCGAACCCCATTGTCCCATCGAGAATCCAAGTAAGATACTGCCTGCTGGTAATCTGAGCATCACACAGGGATCATTTTCCAGAACGTAGACGACGTGGAAGTCAGGCTCATTCAATTTGCTGTTCCGGCACCGCATGCTGGCTCGATCTCAGTGCTGAGGCCGGGGCCTTGTGGCGTGATAGAGATGTTGGCAGACTCGTCATCGCCGTTAGACGGAGTCAAAGTGGTACAGTCGTAGGGGGCGAGAAGCTCTTCGCGATTTTCGCCACCGAATAGGTCGTAAGATACCTGCTGGGCGTCGGCGTTTGCAGCATCATCGCTGTATGCGTCGTATGCAGTGCCGGAATCTTGAACCGTCAGTAGAGCTTCAAAGGACAGTAAGGGCCTGTTGCGTACAACTCCAAGAGGCTGCAAACGAGCCCACCTCGGTGGAGGACTGGCCAGCATTGAGCCAGTGGCTAGCGGTGACAACCCGGCGCCCAACAGGGGTGTCCTCTACTCTGCCGTTGAGATGAATCGTTAGGATGTTGTCACCGGTCTTAGGATGCTTGCTCGCGGTGTGTAAACATTGCCTACAGCAGAATTCGTACGTCATATCATGAGATGATAAGCGAGGCTGGAGATGCTTATGACTGACCTTTGCTGTCCCAAACCGCGTGATCAACGCCAGTTATTGAATGCTAGCGTGTCTTGGGTCGAGGACTGTTCTGAATGCGAGAGGCTGTAGTAGATAGACGAGCTGTCAACGAAGGCTGTTGAACATAGGGAAAGATGATGAAATGACTCAGCCTTTATATGTGCATCGATGGAGGTGTGTTGAACAGCTCGGATGAAGTAGATCAACATGTATCACTCCATACTCCGCGCTGTATGCATTAGTTGCATATATGGCAATGGCCAATGACGTGTGCCTGCCTCGTGTAAGTGTTGTTCACAATCGCAGCTCAATCACAACTGATCCGCGCCGGACTCTCGCCGAGCTAAGAAAGTATCAACATCAAGACATTAGATTCTATACTTTATGTTAATGCAACTTCGACCGCGTCTTCGATGCAACCTTGATCCGCTTGACTGCTACCATATCCCCACTCTCTGCTACTCCGGCTGTCTGGGGGCGATTTGCAAATGTTGCTACTGTATATCACGGCCGCTAGCTGATAGCCCTCAACAAAAGACGATTGTCGCAAATTTTTTGAGCCCACTCGCAGACGCACATTCGACGTACAAACATAGATTAAACAAAGTCAGAGACGTAGCAGAAGGATGGATATCGGGCACACGTTGGGGTGGATGAAGAAGCACACGGGTATTCCACTTGATCGCCAACGTGCTTACCCCCTTGACGTTGACCTTAGAGCAGTGTTTGTCACTGCCATATTTACAATACCACTAGCCGGGGAACTCTATCTGCTATGGTACGTCCAAGGCACGACTGATTCCGTCCCCGGGAAAGTACGCGTACTACACCACCAGACGTCGGCTAATGCATTGCTCGTTCTCTAGGCCACACCAAGTTGGCTTCTTCTGCATTTCATGGGGCGCTGTGTACTTCTTCGGTGGATCCCCCTCGGAGGCCTGCATTCTGGCATGGAGTGCTACGTCAATCGAGGGGATTGTAGCTCACAGCATATTGCATTGGCCAGCATGGCGGACAAACGACACTGCGGCAATTCCGGTCTTGGTGGGCGGCGCACTTCTTGTAATCACCGTCAAAGTGTTGGAACTCATAGATCTAATCCTGTAGCTGTTGTTAGCACGTGTGCGCATTAGCGAAATCTGCTCTCTGCTGTCTCGCCTTAGACACGGGGAGCAGAGAAAGATTGGGCACTAGAGATGTGCTGTTCGTGTTCTCGTATATGCAGTTCAGTGGCACAGCCGTGGATGATGAATCCAGTCTCTTGCTTCTGTATTGCCTAGAATGAGACTCCCTGTGCTCCTCTTTTCTCGAAGTAAGCCTTGTCGATTGGGGATATCGGGCCAGGTTGTCGTAGTAGTCAAAAATCGTACGGTTCAAGACTTCTTCGTCATCGGTTTGCATGGTGGCTCAGTTGCTGGACGGACTTCACTGGACTTCACCAACTCGGAGGACTTGTATTGTGCCGTTCAGAAACGTCGATGACCGGGGTCAATTTGAATGGTAACAATGATCCCTGACAAGGCTCCTAGACTTAACAGCGTGGGCTTCTGTCCACAGACCAGGCTCCGCCATCGTCCACCAGCCGCAAGATTCGCGACCACCGGACGAGGGTTTAGTTGTCGCAGCTCGCAGCATCTGAAAAGCTGGCTGAATGTTTCGCTGTCTGAACCTCGAGGCGTACCAAAGATTGGCGTAAAGCAAGATCGCTCCACGATCAATGCAAAGCCTAAAAGTGCCGGAGATACCATCGTCGGCGCCTCGAGTTCCTTGGACAGGAAAGCACCCCAGCCAGCCCCTTTCGTAGCAGATGCCCGTTTTGCACAACAATGTCCTTCGAGAATCGGCTGGCTGATGGACTGACGTCCGGCATACACTCTCCGGCGCGGCCTAGAAGCCATCATACCCTACATTCCAGTCAATCTGCTTCTGCCATTCGTTCAAGTCGAACCCTTCCCAGATATCAGGGTAGCTTGACGACAGTGTTGCCATGTCGAAGTCAAGTGGAGTCGCCAAAGCATCACTTGGTGCTGAGGATGGACCTGGCTCGGCGACGTCAAGCACTTCGTCCAATGCAGCGGTGATCAACCCAGCAGCATGAGAAGTGATGTCGTAGTTCACCTCGCCTGGGCCGCTGATGCTTTCCAGCTGGCAGATGAATGCGGAAAGATGCCTGATGAGGGTCGACCTACGAAGGCCTGGCGGCAGACTCGAAGGATCCGATTTGCTCTTGGTCAGAGCCTGGGAGAGCACCAACGCCGGAGCGAGCCCAAAATACAGAAGCTATACACCTGTCAGCAAGAATACCTCAAAGAAAGTTGTATCATCTCACAACATCCGAAAACCTGGCATGCATGTACACAGCCTTTCTACGATACGAGCCCAGCTCCAGGACTAGAGACACGATTTCTGACGAAACCAGAATGAGTCGCTGCGCAGCGTCCACATCATGTTTCTCGATCATCTGAAATAGTTGGAACTCCGTATTGAGGAACCCCAACAAGACTGATACCAGCATGAAGCAATTTTGTGGGTCACTGCCTGATTGCCAAGCGGCTGAGGTGTACTGTACGTGGGATGGTAGAGAAGACCAAGTTTGCCGATTCCTGTCTGCTAACGCCCTGCTCGTTGATCAGCGCTGTAGTTGTGGGTATAGCTTATCGTGATAGACATACCTCAAGGCGATAATGGACTCAGGATGTACGGGCAGCCACCTATACTCGAAGATCTCCTCAGTCATTTCTGCCGTGACGACACGAATCCGAGCCCACGTAGCGGCACTGATGCAACCCGTTTGGGCCCAACCTTCTGAAGTTAGTCGACCTCGTGCCAGTGCAAGCTCACCAGGCTCTGCCAAGAGCTCCTCGTCAGTAAGATCCAGGGGTAGTTCGACATTCGAACGACGCTTGAGCAATCGAGGAGGACGATCGAGCAGCGCGGAGATGAACTTGTCGTTACGATAAGCTCGAGCGTACGTTCTGCGGCGACATTCGGCGAGGAAGAAAGGCGTGTCTACTGTAATTTGGCTCTCTTGATATATACCCAGAGAAAATATATCCAAATGGAGGTCGCCTTGGCATCTCCAGTGGACTTCACCTGCTTGGCGTTAGATGGGAATCACTAAACCTCTAGACCAAGACTTACTAGAGTCGCCTTCGATGGCACTGGTCATTATGGCATGATCTTGGGCCAGCCACACTGTCATATCATTGACCGGAGTCAGCTCGCGAGCCATTTGCAAGCATGTGGTACTGCATTGGTATATCTGCTGCAGGAATTCTTCCTTCCATGCCATGTTCTTTGCCATACCGATGAAGTACGAGCGTGCTGCAATGGAAAATATTAGGCCCAGGTATTCCAAACGAAGGTTTTCTCCAGTAAACAAGTCCATAAAGTCTTCTGGAGTGAGTGATGCGTTGATCTTGACGCGAATGGAAGTGGAGTCCATTACTCTCTTGGCCAACTGCATGAGTTGATCCTCTTCATTCGACGAGACATGCAGAGCAACTGTCTGACCGAGTGCCGGCATTCCGCGCATGATCAAGCCACCTGGTAAGATTGCCGATTGACTAGCAGGCCAGTAGGAAGCCATAAGGTCTTCTATTGTCTGGAAGTCGCGAAGATGGTGCAGGACCTCGGCTATCCGCGCTGTGTACTCTGCACGAGTACGATTCAAGACGCTACTGAAGCCTTTCAGATGGGTTACGTTCGCGGATTGAGTAGCTGTTGCCGTGGATGGTATCGATTCTGGCACCGAGGTCTCTTCGGCATGGGTTGAGATGACCGTATCCTGGCTTTGAGCCGCACTGCTGGCAGGCTTCTTTCTCGAGAGAGGCGCCGGATGGTAGAAGCATTGAGAATGTAGACTGCGTTGACGACATCTGCCGCAGATAGGTCGGGCGTGGTCGCAACGTATCTTGCTCTTGCGACAAGGCTCGCAGGAGGCGTCCTTCCCATTCTTTCGACGAGCTGAGCTGCCGTTGGTTGGAGTCGAGGCCATTTTGTACTGGCTACGTTGGCAATGGTGATGTCGAAAAGTCTGGAAGTTTTTGAGATCGAAGATTAAAGGACAGGCGCTGTGTCGTGAAGAAGAACGAGAGCTCTAGGCTTTAGTCCGATGGAGGTCGGAGTCATGCCGGTACGCAGGTACTTGCTGGTCCGACGCCTGCATTAGCGTCGTGCAGCTCTTATCCTTGGTGACATATACGTCTATTGAACATCTCGGCGAGCCTCTACTTCAGCGTGACCAGTTCCTCCGCATTGGTAGGATGTATAGCAACACAGCGATCAAAGTCCGCTTTGGTAGCACCCATTTTGATAGCAACACCAAACCCTTGGAGCATCTCACTAGATCCAGGTCCAATGATGTGCAGACCAACGACCTTCTGATCTTGCCCAGCACATATCAGCTTGTACGAGCACGGGACCGCGTCCTCGCGATCGTCAAAGACGGAGTAGTACAAGCTGTTGAACTTTGTGTTGTAGACCTTGATGTTGGAATCGCCGTATTGCTTTCGTGCCGCTGGCTCGGTCAATCCGATGCTGCCTATCTCAGGATGTGAGAAAACGACGGATGGAATGCTGTCGTACTCGAGATGAGCGTCGATTTGGGCATCTCCTCCGAATAGACGATCTGCAAGGCGTCGACCAGCAGCAATGGCTACAGGTGTGAGCTCGAAGCCGCGGTCACACCCATCACCTATGGCTTTGATGTGCTCGATATTCGTGTTCTGATACTTATCGGTCTTGATTCGAGATTTGCCGTCCAGCTTAACGTTCGTTACATCTGCATTGCTGGTAAGCCATGAAAGGTAAGCAGTAAAAACAAAATGGGGGTATCGTACCTAGGCTCAAACGACCTAATTCAGTGGTGCGGCCAATCGCCCATAGGATGCAGTCAAAATCGTCGGCAGCCTCGCCATCTTGGTCCTTGTAATGCAGTCGTTTCCACCCGCTGCCAATATCTTCGACCTTCGCTTGGGAAGACTGCTTATGGACGACTATACCATGTCGCTGGTACTCCGCCATAAGCTGTTCTTGTATCATTGGATCGAAAGTGCGAAGAAATCGATCATGGCGAATGAACATGTGAGTCTCGGTACCTGCTCATCGGTCAATGGAAGAACAGTAAAGCATGTCGGGCTTGCCTCTTACCAAGCGCATTGAACATGCCCGCCAATTCGACTGCAATGTAGCCTGCCCCAACAATAGCCACTTTTCGAGGCTGTCTTTCAAGTTCGAAGAATCCGTCAGAGGTGATTCCTAGCTCCGAGCCTTCAACGTCGCCAGGGATGCTTGGACGTCCGCCAACCGCTATGAGGATATGCTTTGCCTTCACGAGTACCCGAGTCAAGCTGCCTTCCAAAGTGACCTCGACGGTTTGAGAATCCTTGAATGAAGCTACCCCATGTAGATACTCCACCTCGTCCTCTTTGAGATGCTCTTCGTGGATTGTGTTGAGCCTCTTGACCAGAGCTGAACGCTTTGCAACAAAAGACTGCCAATCGAACGACTTCGTCTCCTCTAATGAGAAGCCATAGTTCTTTGCATCTTTCAGCGTCTCTCGGATGCTGGCCGCATGCCACGTAACTTTCTTGGGAACGCAGCCGACGTTGACACAGGTTCCTCCGAGTCGTTTGGCCTCCACGATGATGGTCTTCGCACCGTACAACTTCGATGCTCGTCGAGCGCTTGCCAGGCCTCCAGAACCGCCGCCGATGACGAGATAGTCGCAATCCTTCGTAGTAAGTACCATGGCTGTAAGTGTTCTTTCTGTTCTAAGAGCAGTGAGGTTGACAGATGCCTTGAGGAGACAAGTGAGTATGTCATGAAAAGAATGCTCAGCGAACCAGATCATCGTGACTTTATATGCTCCATACTGGAAATCCTGGGCGTAAAGTCCCTTGCCTGTGTATGTATGATCGGAATTAGCGCTTGTGCTGCAGATGGTTTCTACGCCGAGAGCTTCGCGATTGTATATGTCGAAGCCTGTTATCCATCGTACTGTTCCCTGATGCGCCAAGGCCTCGACCAAATGTCGTACAAAAGCATGAGAGTCAGGCGTGATCAACGCTGACTGACATGAGGAAGCTGCATTGGAGCACTCCGTATATCGCGGGCTTTGTCGGCATTGCCGATCCGCTCAGCCTGGTCAGCTATCGTGACATTGAGCGGGTCCGCGGTCAGTTTGACCGCAGTAGGAGTGAGCAAACAAAGCTATGCCATATGGTCATTCAAGGCTATCGTCGTCGAGTTTTTCCTCACGACCTCACGATCTTGGTACTTCTCCGGTCGTCGTTTTGTTGACGGAGACGGCACCCGCAAGCCCACGACATGTATGAATCAATAGAGGTCTTCATTCGATGCACCCTCGCGGAAGAACTGTCTCCAAATGTCGTCGTCTTCGTATGAACGGATGCCCAATCCAACCCGCTTGTTGTCGACGATAACGGAAAAGCTGGTGAAGGTCGGATCTGGAAGCTCTTTAAGGACATAGTAAACACGGAACCTGGCCTCTCCTGGCGACACTCTCCTTCCCGGCCAAATCGCGACATGGTATGTTGTGACGCTGGGTCTAGGGCCAAGATGAGATTCAAAGTCAAGACGTGCCTCTGTCTCGTCCTCAATCTCAATGCCACCTTCGTCGGTATTAAGCACATGCAGATTGCCCGTAAAAGCTTTGCTTGTTGTCAGCTCATCGAAATTGCACTTGTAGTCTCTTGGAGGATCATCGAGATAGCGCCCTCCGCCTCCTTTCCTGATACGTTGCTCACAAGCTCTGCGATCCTCCATCGACATTAGCTCAAAGATTGTTCCCAACTTAGCGGATATAGAAGACGCTCCGAACCAGTCGTCGTTGCCGTGAATCCTGTTGCGTCTAAGAGATCTTTGGTGCCATCTTTTGGATGACTTGATCAATGCGATGAAAAGAGAATCATTCAGTCGGTTCAGGGCGTGGAGGAAAAGTGGCATTTTGCGGTACATCGTTGTTGACCACAACATCTCACAAATTTCGACCGGTATTGGGCCAGGTATTTCCTGCAGGGCAGAAAACAGGTCCTCGTGAAATTTATCCTGCTTGCAAAAGTGATCAACAAAGAAATCAGCTTTACTCTCGACGGCACTCAAGAACGGCGTTTTGCCGAATGTGTCTTTCACATGTGGGTTCGCGCCAGAGCGGCACAGATCCAAGGCGACAAACCTGGCGTTTGAAAGAGTCGCGATATGAAGAGGGGTACGGCCTTTGCTATCACCAATGTCCACAGACTGTCCAGCTTGGATGATCAGGTCGAACAGTGGACTATTGCGTTGATTGCTGCGAGCCATCAGGTGAAGGATCGTGTAGCCTTCTTCATTGACAGCAAAAGTCCCCAGATCACACTTAATGAGCGTCGAAAGAGCCTTTACAGACTCCTGCTCGACGGCTGTCTTGAGAGTGTCCTGCAGGGCTGCTGTGGGACAGCGTTTGAGAAGAAGATCCTTCAAGATTTCGGTATCCTCCCTCTCAGCCACTTCAAACGGCAAAGTGCGCTGTGTTATATGGTCGTGTTTCGATAACTCCTGAGCAATGGTAGATTGATCCCACACCCGAAGGATGTGCTCTACGGCATCGTTATGGCCGTTGACAGCAGCGAGCCATAGCGGGCTCCTGCCATTTGCATCTGGCTGGCGTGAGTACTGATTGTCGCCTCCGGTATCTGGTCGAAATGCCATGGTCAGATTACGCTCAAGAGTCCGCTTCACGCTCCTCAGTCTGGTTGAGCCTTCCTGTTGTACTGGAGGCATGGGGATGAAATGCTTTAGAACGTTCAGCCTTCCGTGTTCGGCCGCGAAAGAGACGGCAGGAGCAGTCGTTTCTACGGCAACTTTGGCGTCGTGCTTTGGTGACATGAGTTCGATGACAAGATCAACATTGTCGAGGCTGACGGCATAGAGCAAGGCTGTCATCCCATCTTCGACATGGTCCACGTCTGCTCTTTTCCCCCTTAGCGCCTCCCTGACGGCTTTGATGTCCCCCGTTCTCGCGGCTTCGATCAATTTTTGATTCCACAGACCCTTGCGAGGAAGCCATGCATTGGTGTATCTCGGGTAGTCGACAGGGCGAAGTTTGCGGTAGTCATCATCCATCAGCTCATACACAACTTGGTATATCACGTACCCCCAATGGATAGCACCAGCTATCGCCAGTACCAACGCAGCGCTCTGACCCCCAGTCGGTGATGTTGCTATCCAAAGGTATGCGGCGAACAAGGGTTTCGATTCCGGTCATGGCTACCAGTATACTCGGCAAAAGCTCCGCCCATTTGGAAAATACAGTAGCTCGCAGACGTCCGTAGAGATAATCTGTCTCGTCGTCGAAGTCGCCTTTGCTCTTCTCGGTCTCTTGGTCGCCGCTCGCTAGCGATCGCCAGTCATTCTCGATAATGTGAAACTCTTGTGCATAGCGCCAATCTAACCACAGGCCGTGGAGTAGGATACACCATCGTGCAGCTAGGTATGCCCATGTCGATTTAGATGGCCCATTGCAGCTGTCGACTCGACCCCACCAGTTGATGTACGCACAGTGCCCACTCGAGAAGGAGTAATTGTGTCGAATGCGAGCGAGCATTGCGCAAACGATGGAAGCGGCAACGAGCTGGTTCAGCGCTGATGCAAAGACAAACCACCGAGATGCCAAGCTTTCTTTGCCAGAAGTTGTCATTTGAAGACCTGCAGCTGTGAGGTCGATGCTCATACAGGCTACCATTACCTCGGGGAAGGTAAGCTCTTCGAATCGGGGCCAGGCCGCTTTCACGGCGTTGAAGTTCAGGTAGAATAAAGCTGAAGAGGTCAGGTTGCCTCGCGGTGGGTAACATAGGGGCGAGGGCCTTACTGAGAAGCTGAGCATTCCCAATCTCCTTTGCTCCACTGTCGTCGTTGTGCAGAAGTCCAGCAAGAAGTGTCAAGAGGGCTAGGCCAACTGGAATATAAATACCCACTCTGATACCGGTGCCTGCATTCATCGAATCAGTGGCTTTTGGTGGAAAGGCACTTTTGTGGCATGATGAGGTAGACGCATACCTCCGATGTCAGGGTCCAGCTCCAACGTCGTACTGTTCCAGACCTCTGATGAGTTTGTATTTAAAGAGTGGTGGATCCCTGACGGTTTATAGGAAAGCAATGCAGGAATGAGGGAGAATGGCCAGAGCACAGCTGGGATCCACGTTACAGCCCGTGCGATCGAGTGTCGAGGAGGAGAATGATTATTTTCCTGATTCTGTGTTCCATTGACGGCTTCCAGATCAGGGTCACTGCTTTTTTCAGCTGGCGAAGTGTTTGCCTGTTCCCGATTCCTTTGCGATACAGCACTTCGTAGGGTTCTTCGCACTGCGTCCCATGGTGTACGTGTCGAGATCTCCCAGCAGTAGCAGAACAATGCCACGGCTAGAAATAACAAACAAAATGCGAAGAGTCCAGACTCGCTCTTCTCCATGTCTGCTGCTCAAATGCGAGAAAAGCGATGGAGTGCGAAGTGGGCTTCAAGATAAGTGTATGAGCCCGCAATAGAACGCCCGCATAACTGCCATGGCTATCTTCTGCTGGCTGCATAAAAGGCGTCGAGTCGAAGGGCAAGCCTTACTTGTCGCGTTGCTGCGTGTGGGAGCGTCGACGAAACAATTGGCCCGCAAGCCGCGTTGCATTTCAGCTCATGCATGCCAAGTCCTTCAGTAAAGAAGATGGTGTTAGAAGCCTTGTCGTGGTCTTGAATATGTGACAGCCAGGGAGCGAAAATAGTATAGTGGCTGCTTCTTCGTCGCTTGGGTGTTGCTGTTTCGGTGAGGAGTGTGGGATGCCCGTGGTTGTGCCTGCTTGGCAGTCTCCATGCTGGCTTCAGCCTGTCTTGTGTAACTTGTGGCGTTGGAGCCTTTGGCGTTGATGTGGCAGCGGAGTAGACATTGTCATCGAAGAAGTATCAAACTTGGTCCTGCCTTGCGAACTGTAGGAAATTGGCCACAATGGTGCAAGGCAACCAGCGCCACACGAAGAACGAAACCTAGGCTGATTGCAATTCCATCTGATATCCGTCAACCGCTCCCGGCCACATCGGAATTGATTGTGGCCGCACTGTTGCTTGATGCGACATAACGCAGCACTGAGGTCCAGACAACAGGTCGTTTAGAGCCATGAGAGTGCAACCCTGACTAAAAGGGTGCCTTACGTGACGGTGAGGGTCCTCCCGTGCATCACTCCGAGCATCGTGGACTTGGTCGCGGATCGCCGATCTGGCGTTCAGCCTGATCAAAGTGTCGCGACAGTTAGTAACGGCGGCTCTGCCTTATGAGTTGATGGAGGCTAAGAGTGTTGATGATCCGTAAATGCAACAACAGGCCAAGCAGATAATTAAATGCAAGCTCCATGGCAATGGCATCTGGCCCAAGACACTCACTGCACGCCCAAAGACAACCACCAACACCGTTTGTGTTAGTTTGTCCCTCGTCGAAGAACTGGCTGGAATTTGATCCAGATATTCACCATTGATCGTTGTCGACGACCGACCAATCTTCATACAACACTCTTGGAGTCCACTCTCGCGAAGTCAAGACCTTCGATCCCGCTCGCCGACAATCAGTCATGTCTTCGACCAAAGGCCCACTCGTAGCCACCACCGCTCGCAGCCAGCTCCATCGCGAGATGACCCAGCGAGATCACGATTTGAGGCTAATAGTCGGGCATGCCAACCTTTTGGACGCCTTGATCGATAACTCCAAAGGACTGCAAGACCAGCAAGTGCCGGACTTGGATCGGTTCAGCAAGCAGCGTTCGCCAGTCAAACAGAATTTCGAGATTCAGCAGACTTGCCAGGCCCAGTCACTAAGGCAAATTCCGGAGGGGAGGGCCGGTAAATCCCAAAAGCCTGAGGAGCCTCAGGGATGTGTCAGAAGGCAGAGGGTCGCCAGTGATGTGTATGCCACTGAGCGTGTGCGATTCATCGAAAGTTCTCAGGAGGTTGACGACGACTCAGATTGAGTCAGACCAGGCCAGCAACAATCATTCCTCGGAAGAGAAGCCACAGGCAGTGTAGCTCATCTTTGAGTTGGCTGCCGGAGCTTTGTTTTGCTAAAAATGCGGCGTCATTCTCGTTTATGCTGGAGAGAGATCAGGAAATGCTGGATATCACTCGTTCCAGAGTCAGTCAGTGGGAGGGATCTGTGTGGCAGGTAAAAACGGAGTACGGAATCCCGCAGTACTACCAAAAATAGCCACGCTCCGGATGTAAGATGTTGAACGAACTGGCGAAAAGGTGTCATCGCAGTGCCTCGTAGCCAGAGCCTACAGCGCTGCCCCGGCCATCGTTTGAACTTCAAGTATCTTAAGCTTTCCGTCATCAAGACTCCATTTGATTTGGGCGGCGCTTTGCCTGGTCAATCCCTCAGGCGAGTCGCGAATGTCATACTGCATATAAGTCCTCAAGTCGCTGCTCTCCCTCTCAGTGTCAAGGTGGATGATGATCAACTCGAAATTGGGCGATTCGGTGAGATATAAAGCCTCCAATTGGCGTAGTTGGTTCTTAAGGTCGATCGGTTCGTAAAAGGAAAAGTTGCCATGGAGCCCGGTGTACGTGTAGTTTGGTGAGATGTTCTCAATCCAGAAGGCGTGGTCGGGGTTCAGCTGGCGGGAATTGACCATGTCGAAGAACTCATGAAGGATGTCAGAGCAGCGACGACGGATCTCTTTCTCGTCTTTGAGATTGGCGACATTGCGTGTCTCCGTCATGATGGCTGCATTGCGAAATATGAGTAAGAATGGCAGGAGTTTCTGTGAGTTGAAGGCGGCCCTGGGGGTACATGTATTGATGAGGCAAGCGAGGCAAGCGAGGTGAGATCAGCTCGGTCACAGCCTTTGTGGCACGTGCACGGCTTGGCTTTCCCGAGGTTCGCCGAAGTGAATCTCTGGACAGTGAACTTCACGTCGCTACATCAATCACCCATACCGTACAATCCGAAACACTGCGCCATGGCAAACGCGTCAAGCTCGCGGTCTTTGACCAGCGCTTTCAAAAGACTAAAGGTGAGAACATCGCCTCCGGCCATAACCTCAGCCGCTGACGGTCTTCAAGCTCTCTCCTTTAGCCCCTGCTACCCACCAGATCCGGCACATACAGCAATCATCACGAAATGCTGCACCAGCACCCAGTCGAGCCGTCGCCGCGCAGGTATCAAATCCAACAGCCGATCAAGAGATAGCGAGTCTCCGTCTGCCCAAAGCAGTCCAAGCGACCTACCTCGCTCCCTTGAAACGACAGCCCCCCAAAGACGCGACGAAATCCGCCGAGCTTCAATTACGCTCCTACAGCGTCCGAAACCTCGAAGTCTTCGCTGACTTTGCCCTTCGCGCCGCCTACTTCCTCAATCTGCCCGCATCGGGGCCGAAGCCGCTCAAGCGCATAACCCAGAGATGGACACTGCCCAGATCAAACTTCGTGCACAAAAAGAGCCAGGAAGCATTTGAACGAATCACGATGCAGCGGTTAATTGAGATCAAAGGCGGACACCCAGAAACTGTTGCGATCTGGCTGGCGTTTCTCAGAAAGCACCAATACTACGGCGTGGGAATGAAGGCGCATGTCTACGACTACGGGAGTGTCGAGACTGGCAAGGACTTGGATGCAGAAGCTGAGAGGATAGTGAAGAAAATGGGCGAAAAAGGCGTGGCTTTCGAGACGTATGCCGGCAAGGGGAGAAGACAGCGGGTCGATGCATTGTTCAAGGAGCCGTTCAAGGGCTCGTGGGGCGCACGGGCAGCTATGGGAGGGGCGCCAAGCGTACCTGGTGGGGACCGAATGTTAAGCATCGAGACGATTCGACATGCGCAGGAGCAGGCCCTTGAAGCAAAAAAGGGAAGCCAGTAGTAGAAGAACTCAAAAACAATGACTGAGCTGTTAAACATAAAAGGATGCCTTCAGATGCGCACAAGTGTCTCTGGACCATCAAATCCATTGCAAGAATGAGAGGTACCTGCAGACCTTGGACATGTACTTTGACACACCGACTCGAGTTACCAAGGCTTTGGATTGATCCATCGGCATCTACCCAAGAGACAGCGCCGATCGACCGGAAGGTGCGTGGTCTATGTCGTACGGTGTGCAGGAGACGTGGACCAAGCCTATTTCAAGTCCCGCGACGAGGCACGTCTAGAGTGACCATGCCAGCATCCTTTGCTTGCACGATACGATACCAACGTCGCAAAACCTGGAAGACGCTGGTGCATTGGCAAGCACCCGGCATGCCGGTCTCCATATCATCGTACGAGCGATCATTAGGCACCCATGTTACTACTTTCCCGCGCCCTTTCCTGCGTGGCCTGCGGTTTATACAAGAGTAAAGGTCTCAATCTCTATTCCTCGTTCTTTCAGCGCATCTGCATCCATGCGTGGGTCACGTCGAAAATCCAAGACTGCTTGAGTCAAGCTATTCCGATAAGCAAGAGGGCTGTGAAGGATGAACTCTTGCGTTGCTGTCCCAGAAAGCGTCTCCCACTCTGGAGGCAGAGGCGGTAGGCGTGGATCTCGATGAGTGACTGAGCCATCGAGTCTGTTCTTGAAGGCAGGCATACGATAGGAGCCATCCCCTTCATTGAGAATTTGAACGCATTCAAATTCGCTGGGAAGCGGACCTAACAGTGGCTCCGCATCCATGATGTGAGTGCACAAAGCGTTGCCTATCACACGGTAACAATCTCGATCGACCTCACTAGGTCGCAAGACCATTGCGTACTGACAACCTAGCAGTATGGCGAGAGTGTCGCCCTCACGCATCTGTTCAGGGCCAACGCCAATCTCCCCATCGATGGTCGTAAACAATGATCTCCCCTGGCAGAAATGGAAATGCCGTTGAGCAAGCAGGAGTTCCTGGCCCCAGATCAGAGTATCGGCAGCCACTTTCGGGTCCAGGGACGACAGATCGTGCTCTTGAAGAGCTTGACGCAAGTATCGCGAACACTGGTCCATCGTTGCGTAACCTCCAGGCGGAGGCACAAAGTGCTCGGCGTACGTGCTGCTAGTCAAGACACGCACCAGGCGACGAAGACGAGCATCGTCGACGCCGTTTGGTAACAGGCTCTGCAACGTCCTGCATATGCTCATGTAAAGAGGTCTCGCGAGAGTGTTGCATCCGAACGCGGCTACTTCTTGGACAGACCCAACCCTCACGCCTTGAACGGTCAACTGAACGCGGGTCGCTGACACAAAACTGGTTGCCGAGCTGCCGCTGCACACACCGAACGACAAAGGGCTCGTGATGTTCTGCTGAGTCCAGTCAGGCGTCCACGAAGGCATATCAGCTATTCCAGCCGTCGGGTCATGCGGAGCACAATCACCTACATAGCGCAGGAAACGAAGGTCCTTTCCAGCAAGCTTGAGATACCTCAGAATGAAGTCGACATAGACATCGCGTGTCGAGCATTCGTAGTCTGGCGTCATGGGAAGTCTGTCATAGAAGTCACCGAATGCAAGAGCGGTGTAGATACGGTCCCTTTGGTCCGTACACTGGCACTCTCTGAGACGATCGAGAGCCGTCATCCCATCGACTACATCGTTCAGGGGCAAGCTCTGCATGAAAGTCGCGCGTTTGTTTAAGCGAATCACTGTTGGATTGATCTCGCCCACCTTCTGCTTGCAGTAGCAAACAGCAGTCATGAGCGCCTGAAAGGTAGTCTCGCAATCGCCGCATGTTACTTTCGTGCCGTCTCCTCCCATTCGCACCTCTTGCCAAACCCACAATCGGTGGAAGTACGGCCTCTCCAGAAGAGCAGTGAACGCTTCGACTTCCATGGTGCTAGCGCCTGGATTGCTGGATGTCACTGGCGGCCGGTCTGCATCAAGAGACTCAAGAACATCGTTGTGCCTGTCGTATTTGATTCTCAGGCTCAGAGCGTTGATCCACTCCATAGCTCGATCGCTATCGTCTGCACAACGTCCCAACCAAACGATGACCCGCGCAGCCTTGCCATAGATCGATCGCATAATTGAGACTTGTCTCGACTTTTCCTTGACATCCATCTGGTTGATGCAGATGGCATCAATCCACACCGTCCTGGCTTTATCGGGACGGCGGAGAATCTGCAGAGCCTCGTGGCAATTCTTTGTCACGAAAAGGCTTCGCAAACCATGTTCGCATCTTACGAAAACTCTCACTGGATCCTTCGGGCTGCCCCATGTGTATGACAACGCTTCGTACGAGGGAATGTCTGCCGCCGGAACATCGAAACTAATAGCTGACAATTGGATGTGGATGTCGTCTGTTGATGCTCCTGGAAATATACTGAGCACCCGAATCTCGCTGTCGTCTTCTGCCAGGTGCTCATACTCGAGCATTGAGACGTTTTCGATCTGGTCGTGGCTGTGGACTTGAGCGCTCATCGCTTGTGTTCTTGGGGTCTCATGTTTGTGAAATGAGTGAATTTAGGCACCCAGCGTATCAGGCAAGGCTGGAGAGAGCTGTGGACACTGCACTTCCCTATCGAGCTCCTTAAGCTTGCTGCGTCATTGACCATCAGGATGGTTCAGACTTTCAGAACTCCCACTACGCATATGTTCGAGGTATTGCCAACTAATCGTACCGACTAGAGTACAGTGGGACACCAATCTCGCTGCGCAAGACCACGCACGCAGCATGGAGTTCCACTTCTTCCCTCTAATTGAATTATCCTTGGGGATGCATACCGCGAAGCAAATACTGCAACAATGACAATGAAAGACATACACCTTCTGCCAGACTCTCCTCAAAGCGGAACATCACAACTAGTCCCGTCTGTCTAAAACTTCCCTTCCATCCCTCACCTCCCCCAAAAGCTCTCCACAACAACCTCACAAAACCCCCTCCTTTTCCTCCATGCAAAACTCGCACAATGCCCTCGCAAAAGGAGCGTCCATGCAAGCCACTCCCCCAACACCATTGGGTAGTGTGCGCAAACCCTCAGTTCAATGTGGAGTCGTCCCGCTGCGTACAGCCGCTGGTCAAGCTGTATTGTCATCCAATCAGAACGTGCCCCTGGGAGGAGCTGGAAGTGAATTTGAGTTTTTGTAGTTGCCTGAGGCATGAGGAACAGTAGCATGTGAATGGGACGTAAGATGTTTACTATGTCATCACGTTCGACTTCATTTGCTGAGCATCATAGCAACGCCGAAAGTTTGGTACTGGAGAGGTGGTAGGAAACACTTGTTTGATTTTACTTGCACGTCTCTCTTTTGCATGTGGATGAACTCACTTCACTTTCCTAAGCCGACAGTGAAAGTGGAAGTGATACATCACTTATTACATGTGCTCACACATTATGCTTGGCGTCTCATCCCTCCTCCGCGCTGTTTACAGCGGTGCGTCGCCCTCGAACTTCTTGATCGCAGACGACAACAAAAACAACCACGACTACTCAGCCGACCAGACATCTTCTTCATCAACACCAACATTGAATGCAACAGTGACAAGCATCATGGATTTGCTAGGTGGCAACATGTTGAACGACACCAATACCCCCTCCACACCACCCCTTCAACCCGCCAGCATGCCCGGCGCCGACCACTCCGCTGCGAAAGTCGCCTCGACCTCATCATCTCATACCGACGAGAGCCCCGAAACGACTTCACAGACCCCCCTCCTCTTTACCCTCCCAGCCGAACTCCGCAACAGAATCTACGCCTTCGCCACCTCCTACCCCGACAAAATCACCATCAAGTAAGACCTCACCCCAAACCCATTCTCTCATCGCACCTAGCTGACTTAACCGCCTAAACAAGAACCCTCCAACCCCTAACCCAAGTCAGCAAGCAACTCCGCCACGAAGTCCTCCCGACGTTCCACGACCACAACACCTTCATCCTAACCTCCCCCGGCGACCTCAGAGATTGACATCCCTGCCGCGGCCCCGCGTCCCTCGCCCAACTCAATAAGATCCACATCGACCTCAGATCCTCCGTGGCGTTCGGCTGGACGTTGCGACGCTTCGGTTTGCAGCCCGTCAAGATCCTCGATGAGCGTGAGGAGGGAGAGGAGGAGACGGAGGCCGATGAGAAGGATCCTTGTCGGGATTTGACGGTGGTGTGGGCGAGTCATCAGCGCGGGATGGCGTTGTTGGCGGAGTCGGGGCTGGGGGTGTTGTTGTCGATTGGGTATTTGACGGAGGAATTGTATCATGGGGTGCATTTCCTCTCGAGGTGAAGTTTGGAGCAGCTGGATACGAGTGGCACTAAGGAGTGGAGAAGGATGATCGAGATGGGTTGGATCGATTCAAGGAGGTTTGTCTTGTGGATACCAGCTACGATGCGTCAGCACTGTCGCCGGAGAGTAGGATTGCTGAGATTGGCAGCGGGCGATGAGAACAGGACAGTGCGGGATATGGGCTGCAGCAAGCTTACTGGGGTAGCAGTTGGAGCGTTGTGCTGAGCAATAGTAGCACTAGTCGTCCAACGAGCCCCCCTGGGCGTGGTATTCAAGCTTCGATTTCATGGGTATCTCGTCATATCGCCCACTCATTCCTATTATCAGCTTCTGTAATGAAAGGCTTGTCGATCTGTTTGACGGCCATCTCGCTACAGAGCACACTGCAGACTGGTTAGCACATTCACTTGAAATATGAATCAGGGGTACGTACCATGCACCAGCAACAAGCCCATCCAGCTCCCTAACCATACCCTCTCTACGCTTGCCCAGCGCAACTCCACGTCCAATCTCTCTTTGAAGTTCTCGTATCCTCTTACTCCTTCCCATACCCGCCATGTCCATGACCATCTCTCCCAAGCAATCGGCGTGGAAAGCGTGCTGACAGGGAAAGACAAAGAATTGTCGCATCAAGAGCGGCAGCCGACACTTCCAGCATCTCTCGCCAGGCTCGACAATCGCGTATCGTTGGTCCAGAGCTTTGATGTCGTCCTTGATGTGCTGCGCTGTGTTTGCACTCTCGTCCATCTCGTGCTTTAGCTCATCAATTTGTCGACTGTAATCCTCCAGTGTAGCACAGATCTCCTCTTTGAAGTCGTCAATGACAACGAAGTCCGGAAAGAAGGGGATGAGATCTTCGATCCTGAGAAGCCGGCAGCGCTTCAAGAACTCGATAGCGGCCTTGATGCCTTTGGTCTCTCCAATGACGGTCTTGGCGACCTTCAGCCACAACTTCTTGCGAAGCGCGTCGTCGATATCAGGGCTGTCTGAAACCTCAGCTGCAAGTTCTACCTCGTCATATTTCAGTGCCAGCTCTACAGCGGAAGCGTATTGCTTCATTGTGGTGTAGACGTGAACAGCTGACCGCACACGCTTGTGAGCGATGCAAAGTCGGAGCGCGAAGTCGGCATCGTAGAATTGGTCGTCATTCTTCTCCTGTGTCTGTAGGTAGCTCAAAAGGGCGCTTTCATCCTTGGTAGGATGAGCCGCATACATCGAGATCAGTGTGTTGTGTACAGCTGGCTCTGTGGAATGCGAGTGGTTGATACAGAAAAGCAGATAGCGAATCGCCTGGTTGTCCTTCAGTGGTACTGCATCGCCCATGGTCTTGTTGTAGTTGAGTAGTGCAGGGATGATCTTCTTGATGTCCAGACTGCTCTGTCTCATGAGGACATCAACAAGCTCAAACGCTTTGTGTGCCATGAGAACACTGCTGTATCGGTAGAACATTTCTAAATCTGTCTGCTTCTTCAACACCGTCATGGCCTCGTCCCAGCGTTCGCGATTGATCCAGTAGGATAGGACGTAGTTGAAATCATCAACTACATTGGCGTAGTAGAGAAGCTCCTCCTCTCGACCATGGGCGCTGATAACCTCGTACGTGGTCTTGCGGTCAAGATCACTCTTGTACTTCGTGACGAAGTCTTGATACTCTTTCCGGATTGCTGGCAGCTGTTTTTCGGTGTCAAGCGATGTGGCTTCGCCGTTGGCTGCTAGTTCTGCTCGTGTTGAGATGGTGTCATCCAGTTGATTCAGCTTTGCCATGTATAGCTCCACCATCCAACTCGCAAGCATGATACGCTGCATCGTAGCGGCCTTCTTGAGTGAAGCAAGTTTGACTGACAAGTATTTCCGCAAAGCATCGTGCTCACCCTTATCGATAAAGCTGAGGGCAACATCTTCGAAAGCCTTCGTACTCTTCCCAAGGATAACCGCCGCATCTGCAAACTTGCCCTGAGACATGAGATGGTCGCCAGTCATGGAAGCGACCGCATCTCTTTGCTCGCCTGTTGTTGCATATCGTTGCGCCGCTTCGTACTGGCCTTGGTTGAGCATAATCCTCCAGACATCCCTCGCCTCGTCCGTGACAACAATCTCGAAGATCTCTTGAGGAGTGAAGAGCCAAAATGTGTTCTTTTGATGGTCTGCAAACATGCCCAAGCAGGTCTGACCGCTCTCAAGTATCTGTTGGTTGTAGACCACTGTCTCATCCAACTGGTTTATTCCTGTGATACGACCGTCCGCGAAAGCCAGAATGTGGAATTGTGTCAGTATCATAGACGATACATGGGGCTGGGTAGCACGATTCCGGCCTCCGCTTGTTTGCACAGGCGGTAACTTTGAACTAGGCAGCATCTTGGACTCTCTGAACACTTGCTTCCCAAGGGTCACCGGGTCTGGTGTCGAAGTCAAAAGTTTGCCATGGTAGATCCCTTCTGCACAGAGCCATGCATATGCACGCTCTGCACTTTGCCCGTCGTTCACTGAAGGAGGCGCATCGGGAGAATCAGGTGAAGTCGCCAGACAAGAAGGGACCGCAGCTGCTGCCCTGTCGGTTTCGTGGATGGTCGGTGTCTCACCCTCCAGCAACCTCGCATAGACATATTGTTCGTGTCCGCGTCCTCCAGACTTGCCAACGAAATGTAACAGCTTGTGCTGTGTTGCGACCAGAATGCGCCGTGTATCTGGTCTTGTCGATATCACGTCCGTATATAGTCCAACAATAGGTCCATCTTGCGGGTTATACACATCCTTGCAGTATTTGTCCTGATGGCTGTAGAACTCAGTTCGTGGTTCAATGTATGTTTCGTACACAATTCCCTCTGTTGTTCCCACCAGGATCTCTCTCGTAGAGGCGGTAGGCTGTGATGGATTCCATGCTACACTCTCAATCTGTTTTCCTTTCAATCTTGACAGAGCCTTGGGTTGCCGTGACTGTGTATGAAGGTAGTAGTTCTCCCCCAGAGTGGTCGATATGATCAAGTGAGACGCGGACGGATCGAGGAACAGCTTGCGAATGACGCCGATTTCAGCAGGTCGCTTGGGTAGGTCTATATCATCGATATCGGCAGGGTTATCGAGATCGAATCGGAGAATGCGGCCGGTGGACAGCGCGAGGACGAGAACATTGTTAGCTACCTGAGCAGCTACGAAGTCGGCGGAGATGTCGAAGCGGAGCTGCACTTTTTGCACGTCGAAGACGGGTAGTTGTGTGTCATCGTGGGCGCCGGCAGCGTAGTCACTGCTCGTGTCGAGAGCCATGTGCTATCGTGTCATGGTATGGTGTGTGGCTGTAGAAGCTGTTGTTGCTTTCACAAGATGGAAGTCGGCATCGGATGCACGGACCACTCAAGCTTGAAGCTCTCGCCTGTCTGGAGGCTGCCATGGATCGGAAGACACGACTGGTCAGAAGATGTTACAAGAACGAATGAGAAGTTACCCAGTCTATATGATCACACAAAGGGCACGATGAGAAGATGTCTCAAAAGGCTAATAACGGATGGGTCCAAGCATAAGGATGTAGCATTTCTTGCTTACTTCCAGAGGTAGAAATACCAAGCTGCCCCCAGGTCTGAGCATCGTTTATCCTACCGATACTCCACAGCAGGAAAGAATCTTGACCCTCCAAAGCCCTTTGCAATCACACTCTGCACGTCGACGTTCCCTCGACCAGCCCACAACTTCAACAATATGAACCTGCCAGACACAGGGGGATCGAACTTGATGGCAACTTTGTACTTCCCCCTCCGAATGTGGAATCGAGCACGTGTGACATTTGGATCATTCAAGCCATCGTCATAGTATTCCAACCCCTCCACTTCCGTCGCGTGGTAATAGGACCCAGGGCCGGAGTTGTTCTGGTAAGCATATCGTTCAGTTCGTTCTCGTTCCTCGGGCGACTCGTCCCTCTGTGGGGAGTCTGCCATGCGAGATCGTGCCATCATCGCGTCTAGATGTCGAAGGTTCCATGATCCATCGCGAGCTTCATTACCATCGTTGTTAGCATAAGGACCAGCAGAGCCTGTTCGCCAATCCTCGCGATCCCAGCTATCAGCCTCGATCTGGCGCCGCATATTTCGCAAGCGTTGCAAGCGGAAGTCGAGCACTTCTTGAGATGAGCTCTCCTCAGGACCCGGCTCTTCATCAGATAACAGTGTGACTGGTAAGTTGGCATCGTCGGGGCTGATGACGATTTCTGCCGTGTCTGCAGTCGAAGGAATCTCGCAGTGAGCTTCTGCATCCTCTCGACCAAAGCCAAAGTCATCGCCATAGTAGGGCTCGTCAGACAGGTCGTTGGCAGCATCAGCGCGGCTGGCATAGTCACGATCACGTTGATCAAAGGCAGCACTGATCTCAGGATCCCGTAGAGCATCAGACAGCGTGATCCGTTCGGGGGAAGCCCTGAAACTGCGTCGCCGTCGATAAGGGGGTGTGTGGACACCGTGAAGCCTGGCATGCGGTGGTGGGTCCATGTACTTTTGAAGATCGTTCAGTGACATTGCAACATAAATTAGACCCTCACGAACGCTACAAGATGTTAGCGATGGAAGCCATGGCAAGTCAAAGGGACATGTACGGAGCAGTGAAGCCATGTTCAGGGCCGACAATGTAGAGCTTCTCCAGACAGAATGGGGAGTCATCAGCATGTCGAAGAACTACGCTGCTGCTTGACCTCTCCGAGCAATACACGCTCTTGTCATGTCGAAGCAAGTTCTGAGACCCCAAGTACGTGTTGGGATGGCGGGGGTCTCTGTGCTCCCCTCCATCGCAGCTTATGATCTCCAGCTTCAATTTGCCCGGTTCTACCTGGCCGAAGTGGCCATACTTTATGGGAGGTCTTGCAGACGAAGACCGGTCTGAGTCGAGCTTCCTACGTTTTGGTCTTCGTCTTCTTGGGTCATCTGATCCATCCCGAGAGTCGGTGGCTGGTGACCGCTGTCGTCTACGCTGAAGTGCCCCAAGCAGTGAGCGTCTCGGAGGTAGGTGCGACGTTGAGGCACCCATCTCGGCGAGGTCGTTGGCAGCCATATCGGCGGTGGCTCTCAAGGCGTGGTGCAGGCGGCTCCGGCGAGAGCGGGGCGTGGACGATTCGCTGTTGCTGGCGGGCGGCTCATCATACTGGCCGAACTGTAGTCACATGAGCTGGCTGCCATGTGTAAAGCATACTCCCCTAAGCACTACGTACTCGCATCGACGACAGCGGGCGAGAGTCTGGCATGTCGGAGCCCTCCTTCCCTCGAGCCACTGCTGGCGGCTAGTGGTGCTGCTGCCGCGGAGTATGAGTGCGGGTAGAGGCAGCTGGAGGGGTGGAAGCAGCAGGTCGAGCCTGATTCACATTCAACGGTCGATGAAAAGGTATAGATTGGGCTTCACAGTGAGGTGAAGTGCGTCGTTCTGGTCATCAGTGAACCGGCGGGCAACATGCCACCTGTGTGGCTCGTGATGTGGAGTTCACCTCAGCGTGCCTGCACGCGGCGTTGGTGACGCTGCCAAGCCGCTTGATTTAGGCTCAACTTTAGCGCCTGCGGCGCGTAACCTAGATTGACTCGCGGCGACCTCCTTCCAAACTCACTTCGCGATCTCACAAGCAGCAAACAACAACATCTTCACCACTCGACACATTACAGGCCGCGGCATCATTCCGAGCTGTACATACCGCACCATCGCTACTTGCATGCTTTGGTTCCGGCGCGACATCTGAAACCGGACGTCGAAGTGGTCGCTCCGGAAAGGAGGCTCGACAGTTCACTTCAAGCAGCAACTCTCACTTCAGCATTCGAAAGCACCTCGCCTCGATATGGCATCCGACACTGCACCGCAGCCACCTTCAAACGGGGCATCATCAACCAACGGCGCGATCATGGCACCGCTGCCTGACACCAACGGCGATACGACAACATCGTCCGCCACCAAGCTGAGCGCCGACGAGATCGCCTTGTATGATCGCCAGATTCGTCTCTGGGGAGCTCAGGCCCAAGAGCGCATTCGCTCAGCTAACATCCTGCTGGTGTCACTACGGGCTCTGGGAACCGAAATCGCCAAGAATCTCACACTCGCCGGCGTCAAGTCTCTCACAATCGTGGACAATGAGCCCGTGACGGAGGACGATTTGGGAGCACAGTTCTTCCTTCGCGAGGAAGACATTGGCAAGCCGGTGAGTTCGTCCCCGATATCATTCGTCTACCTTTTCTGACAGTCACAGCGCGCTGATGCAGCTATCCCGAGAATACAAGAACTCAATCCACGGGTTGAAGTCAAGGCAGATGGCGGAAGGGATGGCCTTCTGGCCAAAGACGTGACCTACTACGTTCCATTCGAATGTATCATCGCGTGCGACCACGACATGATGACGCTCTCTACCATCAACACTGCTGCGAGGCTGGCTAGCCGCCCGTTCTACGCAGCTGGCATCCACGGTTTCTACGGCTACATCTTCACCGACTTGGTGGGACACGAGTTTGTGGTAGAGCGCGAAGTATCCAACCGACCAACTCAAGCAAACACGCTGGAGAGCATCACCCGCTCGGTCGTCAGCGTTACCAACAAGAAGGAACCCAACGGGAAGAATCTGGAGATCGTGAAGAAGATGGAACTCTACTGTCCCCTTCTCCTAGCCAACTCTTCGCCACTTCCACCGGATGTGATGAGCAATCGGCGCAAGCTTAAGCAGGTCCCGCCGCTGCTGCCTTGCTTGCGTGCCGTATTCGAATTCCAGCGCGATTACAACCATCTGCCCTCTATTCAGAACCAGCAAGACCTCGCCATCTTCACCACCCTGGCCACCAACAAAGCCCGTGAGCTGCAACTGCCGCCAGAGACCTTGCGCGCCGAGTTCCTTCGCAGCTTCATCCAGAACATCGGTGCCGAGATTACGCCCACTGCTGCATTTGTTGGCGGTCGCCTGAGTGAAGATGTCATCAATGTCCTCGGCAAGCGGGAGCAGCCTATCCAGAACTTCGCTCTGTTCGATGGCGAGACTCTTGAAGGCCGAATCTACTGTTTATTCACCATGCCTCCAGAACTGGCCATGTCGCTTAATCCAATGCCGCCAATGGACATGTCTCTAGGTATGGGCGGCGTTGGCATGTCTGACATGAACGGTTTCGCTCAGATGCCGAACATGCCGATGGGGGACATGCAAGGTATGCCAATGGGTAATGGCAACGGTATCGACAGTAATGGCATACAGCCTCCTCCGGTCGACAGCGTGCAGCATGGCCTGACGGCGGCCAATGAAGCAGCGCAGCAACAAGGAGTCGCGCCGCCCTCGTAGTTTGTGGCCGAAGCGAACATACCGAGGAGCCCGACCCCGGTTAGACCTCGCACCGAGAGCGCCTTCCGGCTTGAAGAATACAGGACAGTCTACACCAGAATGCAGAAGATGAAGCTTACGACAACGCCCAGATTCAGCCGCGTTAAGGGATGGAAGCCAATATCCAAAAACCAACGGATCTGGAAATGGCTGGCAGGCGTGGAGGGGCCCATACCATGGCCTTTACCGTGAAGCTCGCCGGCAGCCCACGAAGAATTGGCTACGCCAGAAGATGGGTGAAAGAGGCATACATGTATGATAGTACAACACAACACAGCACCACTAAGAACCAATCGAGGGAAAGGGAACCTCGAATGTACAATGGCACAGTTCAATACCCACGACCCGTATCACCTGACCGGCCACTACGCTTCCTCACCAACCTCCCCCTCCCTCCTCTTCAAGATCCCCGTCCTCGTCTCCGTATGCTCCGTCCTCAAATCCGCATGCTTGATAAAGAAACTCGCCACCAACCCCACAGCAATAATACACGTATACATAATCCACATATCCTTCATCCCGTCCGCAAACGCAGCCTCCACCGCCCTCTTCTGCCCAGGATCCTGAATCGCGTTAATCATCTCCACATTCGCCTGTGCATTCGCGCCCGAGAAGGCTTCCACGAGCGTGTTATTCAGCCCCGCCGCGCGGAGCGCCGGGCTCTGCTGATCCATTCCGTTTTGAAAGACGACGGCGCCGACGACGATGGACATTGTCGTCGCCATATTTCGCGTGAAACAAAACGTCGCCGTCGCGGCCGCCGTGTCGTCCTGCGCCGTGACGGCCTGGAGAGCGACCATGGGCGGTTCGAAGAGGAAGCCCCTCCCGAGGCCCGCGATGACTTCCACGCCGACGAGCAAGCCGATCGTCGTGGTGATGTCGAACATGATGTATAGTCCTGTGCCGAGGGTGAAGAGCGCGGCGCCGAGCCAGATGACTTCGCGGTAGTGGCCTGTTTTGAGCATGAGGTAGCCGGCTAGGACGCCGATGACGGCGGAGGGGAGGACTTCGGGGAGGACGAGGAGGCCGGATTGTAGGGGTGTGGCGCCTTTGACGGATTGGGTGTAGAGGGGCGTGTAGTAGTCTAGGCCGATGAAGACCATGCCGTGGGTGAAGCAGACGAGGAAGGAGGCGTTGGTGGAGAGGTTGGAGAAGATCTGGGGTGGTTAGTATTGCATGGGGAGAGGGAATGGTGGGTGGAGGACTGACCTGCATCGGCATCAAGGGATACTTCGCCACTCTCTTCTCCGCGAAGACGAAGAACCCGATGAGGAGGACCCCAAAAACGATCAGACAGATGACTGTAGCAGAATCCCACGCAAAAGTCACTCCGCCAAAATCCAACCCCATCAGCACCATCAGCGTAACACCCACAATCGCCACCGTACCCAACCAATCGAAAGCCTTAAACCCATCCCGCAACCCCGTCCGCGGATTATGCACATCGAGCAACAGAGCCAACAGCACAAACGACACCGCACAGATCGGCAGGTTCACCCAGAAACACCACCGCCAACTTGCATACTCCGTGAACGCGCCCCCTAACAGTGGTCCCACACCCCCGGCCAGTCCCCAACAAACATTCGTCAACCCCAAGAAAATCGTCCGCTGCCGCATACTAAACAAATCCGAAATCACAATCAGCGCGATCTGATTCAGTCCCCCAGCACCGGTTCCCTGGAGTGCCCGTGCAGCGATGAGCACACGACTGGTATTGCTCAGCGCAGCCATGATGCTCGTGGCGAAGAAGATGGCGACGGCGGAGAGGAGAGCGAGTTTCCGACCCCAGATGTCGGAGAATTTGGCCCAGATGGGGCCGCTGGCGGCGTTGGCGAGGAAGTAGGCGGAGGCGATCCAGGCGTAGCCCGTGGCGGAGTGGAGCTGGGAGGCGATTGTGGGGATGGAGGTTGCGAGGATGGTTTCGTCGAGGGCGCCGATGAAGACGCAGAGCTATGGGATTAGGTCAGCAGGGAGAATGGGGCTGGGTTGGTGGAAAGGGTGAGTTACGTAGAGACCGATGAGGATTGCGTAAAGGCGAAGTTTTGTTCGGGGTGGCCTGACTTCTTCTATTTCCATGGGCTCGACGAGTGTGGGAGCAACAACAGATATAGACATGCTCTCAACTGGAGCTGGAGGTGGCCTAGCAGGCGAGATTTCTTCAGGTACACCCATATTGGACGAATGGGAGAAAGAAAGCAAGGAACAAAATTGACGGGGGAGGACGGGATACCTAGCTATAGCAATAGCACTACCTCAACGATACAATTATCGACAGAGGGGAAAGGAATGTAAAAGCACGACCAGGCTCCCGCATTGGAAACACCGCCATATCGCTCCTCCTGCGCCCTTCAAAGCGGAGTTCGGCGTTGATGCGTCCAATGGCCGAGGGCAGAGGTACGCGGCCGAGATGCTGGACGGAGGTGGAGCATTCAGCGATAGCTCGCTCGCGGCATCTGATGAAGAAGTAGTGTAGAATGTGTGAACGAGATGCAATCACATGTGAACGAACTCTAGGTGAATGCTCACACGAGAAGGTGAAGTCAACTTCGTGTCCGTGCACAAAAAGCACAAGACCCTGCACAGCGCTGGCCTTCCTTGTGATTCGGCGGACCCACTCGAGGCTGGCCTCGCACAAGAAGCGACGTCGTCTTTAATCTTGCGCCTACAAAACCCACACCCACCACCGCTCCTCCACCCCGTCAACGAGACACCCAACACCTTCTAAACGGACAGCGCGAACACCCACCGCCATCATGAACCCCCAAATGTGTGTATTCCAGCTAACAAACCCTCTGGCACGCGACTCGCGGGCGAATATGGGGCCACGAGAGACTGACGGAGAGAAAACTGTAGCACCAACCTGGTCATCATCCTCGTGATGATGCAGGCCAGCAAGAAGATTCCCTTCGACGATCCGAATGTCCTGATGGGTGTGCGCGGGCTGTACGTCCTCAGCAATGTCATCATATTCGGCATCTACATGTATGTCAAGATGCAGATTGACAAGAAGAGAGGTAAGAAATATCTATCCACCACATACCGACCCCTCAAACTTCGTACTGACTCGTGGTGTGTGAAATTCTAGACATGACCGTCCTCAAATACGTCGAACCAGCCCCCATGGGCAGCACGGAAGAGCCCAAAGCCGTCACGACGACCGTGCACGCCTACGACCAGCAACAACTCAAAGGCCTGCTCAAGTCCCAGCTCATGGGCGTCGGCATGATGGGCGTCATGCACCTCTACTTCAAGTACACCAACCCGCTGCTCATCCAGTCCATCATCCCGCTCAAGGGCGCCTTCGAGGGCAACCTCGTCAAGGTCCATCTGTTGGGCCAGCAGGCGACGGGCGATCTCAAGAGGCCGTGGAAGGCGAATAATGGCATGGCTGGGCTGATGGGGCAGGGTTCTGGGGAGATCAAGACGGATAAGAAGAGTGTTGAGGCGGCGGAGAAGGCTGGTCGCGGGGGTGTTAAGGAGGAGTAGAAGATACTGTCTGTACATTCGCGGTAAAGAGGGCTTGGGCTTGGAAATGAGGGTGGATATTCAAGTAGACGTGAATCAATACGCGCAATTGAGCGCATTTCTATGGAGTCCTGAGGTCTGCTTTTGTATACCAACCACTTGCTACGCATCTCCCAAAGGCCGGGTATGTCTTGACTTTCCCTGGCGGGTGTTGATCTTCTACTCCAGCACACCCTACCGAACGATCATGTTATCGTTACCTGGTCCGGTGCCGATATACTTAATTCGTACACCCACATAGTCCTCAATGAACTTGATGTACTTGCGCGCATTCTCTGGCAGATCATCCCACTTTCTCATGCCGACCGTGTTGGCCTTCCACCCGGGAAGAGTCTCGTACTTGACATCAATGTTCTCCAAAACAGCCAGGTCCGCGGGGAAAGAGGCGAGCGCCTGGCCGTTGTGGTGGTATTCCGTTGCAACCTTGATCTCCTCGAAATCGTCCAGGATGTCGAGCTTGGTAAGGTTGATCGCATCGTACCAGTTGATCGAGTTGGAGTACTTGACCACGACAAGGTCGAGCCACCCACAACGTCTCTTGCGCCCGGTCGTGACACCGTACTCTTTGCCAACATTTTGCAGGCGCTCGCCGTACTCGTTCAGCTGCTCTGATGGGAAAGGTCCAGAGCCCACACGGGTCGTGTACGCTTTCACCACGCCGATGGTCTCCTTGATGTTCCGCGGGCTAATGTGGAGTCCAGTGAAAACACCGCCAAGACCCGTACTTGAAGACGTCACGAATGGATAGGTGCCATTGTCGATGTCCAGCATGAGCGCCTGGCTTCCTTCTACAAGCATCTTGACGTTACCCTTAACAGCCGACTCGATCAGAGGGACCTGGTCGACCACATATGGCTTCAAGGTCTCGCGATACTGGTCGAAGCGCGCGATTTCTTCCTCGGCATCGTATTGCAGAAGATCTCCGTAGCGCTTCTTGAATCCACTGGCCAAGTGACGCAGCTTCTCATCAAACAGTGTCTTACTGAAGATGTCCGCCATGCGGATACCACTGCGCGTAGCCTTGGTGGAGTATGTTGGGCCGATGCCCTTCTTGGTGGTGCCAATGTTGCCCTTTCCAAGTTCTACCTCTTCCAGCCCATCCACCTTCGTGTGCAGGTCGAGATCGACATGGCAGCGATCGCTGACCAGGATGCGATCCTTGGTGTTGATTCCATGCGCTTCCAGTGTCTCGATTTCTTTGAAGAAGCCGGGAACGTAAACGACGCAGCCAGAGCCGACGAGGTTGATGCAGCCGTCGGTGAGGACGCCGGAAGCTGAGGGAAAGTCAGCCACAAATCACACCCAAGCATTGGCCGTACTCACGCAGGATATGGACGTCAAAGGTGGTCTTGTTCTTCACGATGGTGTGTCCCGCATTGTGTCCGCCCTGCGCGCGACAGCACAGCTGGATGCCGTCTTGCGCAATGACATCGACAATCTTGCCCTTGCCCTCGTCACCCCATTGGGCGCCTAAAACGACAGTAGCCATGGTGGTGGTGGAAGAGAGGCGCGCCCAGAGATATCGCCGAGCAAGCCATTTTGAAGGAGAAGAGTCGTGTCACCTTTCAAAGATTTTATACTGCTGCCCCGCCCCCACAATTCTGAGTTTGGTCATGGATGCCTCAGCAGATTCAGGCATTCGTGTGTGGCTTGGCTGGCGAGGGGGTAGCTCTTTCCACGTCGCTTGCGTGGGCGGTGTGGCGGTGCCTACCACGGATCAGACGCGCAGCCTCGACAGACAACGCAACTTCCAAGATTCACTACCATCAGGCGTCCATTTGAATAAGATTGTCTCCGTTCCTCACTTCACTTCATGATGACCAGCACCCATCACTCACACCACCACCGACAGCTTCCACGGCATGGCGGGCCCGATCAGCTGCCCATTCTGTGGATATGAGAGCGGCAGCGAGTACAATGTGCAGCTGCATATTGAAGAACGACACACCGACGACTCGCCATTCGTGCCGGAACCTGAGCGACCGAAGAAGGTCTCTCGCCTTTCCAAGACCAGCAATGCCTCCTCAAAGGGAACCAGTTCATCTGGCACGAGCTCGATGCCGGAAGACATGTGGACACGATGCACGAGGCCTGGCTGTGGTGAACATGTTCTGCTGTCAGAGATTGACGAGCATCTCGACCTCCACGCAGCAGCAGCACTAGCAGAACAAGACGAGGAACGACCGCCAGCACTGCCACCCAGAAGAAGTCCGCCTCGAAGGCCTGCCGAAAAGGAGGCATCCAGCAAGACCAGAGAGCTGCTACCACCAAGTCCCCGTAAGCTGGAGAAAGGAAGGGCAAAGAGCCCCGGCAAGACTGCTTCCATACTCAGCTTCTTTTCAGGCACTTCGACTCATGGTCGTTCAACTACTGTCCGGAGAATCCATGAGCCCAAAGCTCCTGGTCGGCTTGGCAAGAAGGAACTCGGACCTCATGCTTTCGAGAAGCGCATGCCAGATGATGTGCGTGAGCATCTAATTCATGGAGCTAAACCACAGTACGTCCAACGCATCAGCAGAAGCGGACGTTTGGTGCGAGAAGCCTATGTTCCGAATGAGACAGTCGGCCTAATACCTATCCTTGCGGATCTATGCTCTCTCGAAGAAGATACCAGAGCCACTTACTTCTGCCACCCTTGCGTCCGACATATCCAGAAGCTGCAATGTGACGGCAACTTCTGTGGGTACTGGAACATCCAAGTATTGTTGACATACATTCAACATATGATGCCTCAAGGGCCGCAGGAACTTCCCAATATCATCCAGATTCAGAAGACTATTGAGAAGGCTTGGGATCAAGGGATTCTGTCGTTTGGGAGAACGGAGACTGGTGGTATCCTCGACACGCGAAAGTGGATCGGCACTCAAGAAGCCCTAGCTTTCTTCAACCGCATCAATGTCAAAGCCGAAGCACTCGTTGTCAAAGCCGAAGCACTCGTTGTCAAAGCCGGCGATGGCGATGGTGATAAAATTCCCGCCACAGAGCTGCTTGACTACGTCGAGGCCTACTTCATGAGCGCAACGGACACCGCGAAAAGGCACGGCACTTCCTATACGACACAACTCGCCCCCATTTACTTTCAGCGAGTGGGCCACTCGATGACGATCGTCGGTATCGAGAGGAAAGACGACGGTTCCCGCAACCTCCTGGTGTTCGACTCGTCGTTCGCTACATCCAAGCCGATGGAAAACGTATTGGACGGGCGTCGGGCGAGATCATCAGTACCGGACATGTTGAGGCCGTATCGCAGGTCGGAGCTGTCGTTGACGAAGTGGGACGAGTTTGAGCTTTTGATGTAAGTTTTCTGCTTGTAACAGTGTGGCTCTTGCTGAAACTTTTGCAGACCGCACCCCATCGTCGACGCAGAGATGGCTTCGGCGATATAGATATGAGAATACGAGAGCGTCCTGCATCCCACACAATGTTTGCAGTTTGAGCGTCATGATCGACCACGCAGGCACATATATTTGCCAGCGATCCTTCCCGCGCTATGACGGTTCAGGTAACCTCTGCTATGTCTGTGACCGTCTGTTTGGCAACCTCCCCGCTACACACAACGATACGCCGAATCTTTGACTTTACATTGTGCTGCTCGCGGATTCCATGGCAATGACGTGAACGGCTGAACGACGTCGGGACGAGGGACCATGCATTGGCGCCGTTTAAAAGACCGTGAAGTGGATGTGAGTCGCATCATGTTCGAAATGCCACATCCAATGCTGTACTATCTCTTTTTTCTCCTCGTCGAGACGACCTTTGCGTCGTATCCTGCAAGGGCTCCATGGGCTGGCCTGGAAACATACGCGCGGCGAAACTACTTTTACGCCGGCGGGAAGTACATCAACGCCACGCAGACTCTTGTCAATCAGACCGCCCAGTATTTGGTGGGACAGGTCTATGCTGAGCAGCTCACGCCCTTCGAATCCAGGTACGAGATCCCGCTCGTCTTCATCGCTGGCGCCGGCCAAAGTGCAACCGTATGCTATCTCAACTAAGAATATTCCGCAGCCACGACCTACGCTGATCACTCTGCCAGAACTGGTTGAATACTCCCGACGGTCGTGAAGGCTGGGCATCGTTCTTTCTTCGCCATGGCTACACCGTGTATCTGGTCGACCAAGCTCAGCGTGGAAGGTCACCGTGGCTTCCAGGTGAAGGAGCAATGCTACAGTTCCCTGTATCTCAGGTTGAAAAGCAGTTCACTGCTCCGCAAGATTACCCTTCCTATCCACAGGCTATGAATCACACGCAATGGCCCGGAACAGGCCTCCAAGGGGATCCTATATTCGACGGCTTCATGCGATCGCAACTCCAGGCTCAAACAAACAGCACGATGCAGTCCGTCTACAACAATCTCTCCTTCAACGCCCTCCTCGACGACATCGGACCCGCAATAGTCATCCCACACTCAGAAGCCGGCATGTACGGCTGGCAGCTCGGCGACGCCCGCCCAGACCTCGTGAAAGCCATCGTCGCCCTCGAGCCCGCCGGCCCTCCCTTTGCAGACTACAGCGGACCCCCTTTCGAACCTGGCTTGGGCAGCAGCTCGGGGAAGCGACCTTTCGGCCTCACGATGTTGCCTCTGCAATACAGCCCACCCATCGGCAGCAATGCCTCCCTGCTCACGCAACAAAACCACTCCGCACCGAATCCTAACCTGGCACCTTGCATTCTACAGAAAAAACCGGCGCGTCGGCTGACGAATCTTTCGAAGATCCCGACCCTATTGCTCACGTCGCAGGCGTCCTACCACGCGGTGTACGACTATTGTACGGTGTATTTCCTAAAGCAGGCGGGAGTTGATGTCGAATGGATCCATTTGCCTGACGTCGGTGTCTATGGGAATGGGCATTTTGTCTTCATGGAGCGGAATAATCTGGAGATTGCCCAGCTTGTTGAGCCTTGGATTGCGGAGCATGCTGCAGGTGTGCGATGAGTCTGATGGACTTGTGAGATTGGGTGTCTCAAGACTGCTGATCGTTTGGTGTTGAGAAGTCACCTATGCCACTTGTCAAGATACGGCCTGACTTCTCGTACTGTAGAAGCAATACCACCCTCCTCGTCCTACGACGCAACTCATCCAAGCAACCCTGCATCTCCCTCCAAACCCCTCCAAACCCCGACCCTTCTTCGCACCTCTAGAACCGACATTGCACCAACAATCACGCACGCCCAGAGCCAAACGTCCGAATTGGCTTTTCGGCCCTATTCGCCTTGGCGACTTGTTCTACAAGGCCTGTGCCGATGTCCGCCCAGGCTTGCCCAGCACGCTGAAGCCCACCTAGTGCGAAGCGAGTCTGAGCGATCGATCGTGCGACTCAGTGCCCATGGGGTTTGTGGAGAGTGGAAGATGATTGTTAGGTTGATTGTGTCTTTTTTCTCTTTCCACATGCGAGGGGACGTTGACGTGGTTTGACAGACAAAACGAACAAACAATATCTATCTTGCCTAGCTGGAACGTGTGGATTGCTTATTCTATAGGAGCAGGAGTTTTGTGTTTACTTCGACGACATCGTCCTCGATGTAAGTAAGTACTTGAGTCCACGCGAGCCTTCTTCGGCGCCATGGCAAAAAACTCTTGGCCTAACGTCCAAATCGCCGTTTCGTGCAGGAGCGCCGGTCGCATGCTAAGCACATGGTTAGGCTTGGTTGACGGCCCAGATCTGGAGAACCCCCGCCTTGTGGAACGATTAAGTTCGATATTGAGGATGTCGGGGCAAACTGTAGGGCCTTGTCTATAAGAGCGCTCTGCCGTCTGGTCTTTGCTTGAGGTCGTCCTTTCCTTCTTCGCCTTTTTCGATTCTCTCCCCAGAAAGACGAGAACTACATTCAACAAATATGGGCTTGGGAATAAACAAACCCGCCGACACGCCCGGCAAGGCGTGGCCTGCGATCTGCATTGGACTCTTTGTGTCGTTTGGCGGGGTGTTGTTCGGATATGATGTACGTTCTGTCCGCCCCCTCGTTCTCCTGGACGGCGGTCGGAGCTGATGATGATGTTTTTCTTACCAGACCGGCACGATCTCCGGCATCCTGGCCATGCCGTATTGGATCGAAGAGTTCAAGACGGGTAGCAATGAAGGGATCACGCCCGCGCAGGACTCGCTCATCGTGTCGCTTCTGTCGGCAGGGACGTTCTTTGGGGCGTTGTTCGCGGCGTACGTACACCCTCATCCTTTCACCCTCATCCTTTCACCCTCCCTGTTCGACATTGTTGACGATTGGTTCTAGCCCAGCAGCAGATCTCCTCGGCCGCAAGCTCGGTCTCATCGCTTTAGCGGGGATTGTCTTCAACCTGGGCGTGATTCTGCAGACGGCGGCTACGGCTCAGCCGATGTTCATTGCTGGGAGGTTCTTTGCTGGATTGGGGGTTGGGTTGATCAGTGCTATGGTTCCGCTTTATCAGAGTGAGACGGCGCCGAAGTGGATTCGAGGTGAGGTGGTGGTTCAGTAGAGTGAGATATGCAAGGCTGACATTCGTTGGTGCAGGTGCTGTTGTCGGCGCATATCAGTGGGCCATCACCATCGTGAGTCCCTCCATCCTTTCCAGGCCAGACCCCTCACTCAATACTGACATGTTGTAACAGGGCCTCTTCCTCGCCGCCATCGTCAGCTACGCAACGGGCCAACGCAACGACTCCGGCTCCTACCGCATCCCCGTCGCCGTCCAATTCGCCTGGTCCATCGTAATCTGCGTCGGCCTGATCTTCCTCCCAGAAACCCCACGCTTCCTCATCAAGCAAGACAGGCACGAGAAAGCCGCCTCAAGCCTTGCGAAACTCCGTCGTCTCCCACCAGATCACCCGGCTTTGGTCGAGGAGCTGAGCGAGATCCAGGCGAATCACGCATATGAGATGAGTCTTTCCAAGGCGACGTATCTGGATTGCTTCAAGGGGACGGTGGGAAAGAGGTTGCTTACGGGGTGTTTGTTGCAGGGGTTGCAGCAGTTGACTGG